GTAGGGAAAAGTCTCTCGGAGAAAAGTGGTGATCTCCAAGAGAAGCTGGCATGCTGCCATCTTCAGGGCAAAAGGACAACAACATTTGGTAGGATTCACAGTGCCTGGGAAATAAAATATTCTTAGTAAGAGAACACGACACAAAATCTGAAACCAATAACTGATGAACATTATTACACATGATACATAATGCAAGCTGCATGTGAAAAAAATGTTATGGTTAATAATGAATTCCATATTCCTACACTACTTTTCTAATATTAAAAGTATGGATTAATACATAAACCAATCAGCACCTATTCCATTTAGTGTACTATGTGGTTACCGATATATCTGCTATAGTGAACTGGTGCAAAAATGTAAGCTCTGCCTACAATGCTATATTAAAATGACTTGACAGATACCCTTGTGCCCTTTGTGGTTTTGCATTCAGCCAAATGTACAACAATTATGGCAACGCTCCAGGTCACAGTAGAGATGAATTCAAATCAATTTAGAAATTAAGAGACATCTTACATAAGGTTATTTTGGCAGTAACCTTAAGAAAGGGTAGTGTCATTGTCTCTCCCCCACCCCTCCCCTCCCCTCCCCTCCCTTTGATCAAACACATACTTACTAATAGTCAACATACATATACTGGACCTATTATTAACAGCTATCCAGGAAACTAAATAAAGCAGTAGCCCTCCAAAGGTTGCTTCCTTTTTGTCACATACAGAATACAAATGTCACATTTAGAGATGGGGCAACAACAACATACACTTATCAAGTCATCAAAGGTCTGGAATTGAGTAAAACAGAAAACTTCATTAAGAGGTATTCAGCAAAGCAAAGTACTTACACAAGTGCTTAATTCAACACCAGTGAATCTACCCATATGCTTAAAGTTGAGCATATGTGCAAGTGGCCTTGCTGAAATGGAATCCAAATGTTAAGCTTCAAAATCAGTACTCATTATAGTTTAATGATGGTCCAATACTATCCAAACCTTGAAGATTACAATGAGCTCCTGTAGCCTCTATTAATTTGTGAAGGACCCTGACAGCTACTGTATGAACTATGCCCATTTCTGATGATGATTTTGGTTAAAACAAGGATGCTTAGGGAGCCACAAGTGCTGGTTAGCATGGCTCTGCATGCTAGATCAGGAAGCATGTGATCCAGACCTGATCTGATCCATTGACAAGCCCTATGCCACTCATCTGGCCCGCAAGTCCAAAAAGCTTGATCACCACTGGGTTAAACAGCTGAACATGCCCATTTTTGGTAATATGTTATTTTCACCATATTTTGCACATCTGATCCTATCATGTCACACAAAGAAACTGAACAAAGGAACACATACATGTTACCAGACAAAACTGCTTATGTTTGCTTTGCTGACTGGCTCTTCCATACAGTTTTCTTGTAACGAATGACATTTAGATGCACCAAAATGATCTGAATAGTCAGATACAGTGGGAATCCATAGGGTGACAGTATAAGCAACAGCATATTCTGTGATTAGAAGAGGCTCAGACATACCTACCAGGAACAGCCAAAAGGGCTCAGTAAGAGATCAGAGAAGTGCTCTGCTTTAGCAAAAAGGAAGAATATTCCTCTGAATGCCCTGACCTGGAAAGGGATCAGTTCTGTTTCTATATACCATGTATGGGGACAGCCTACCTTGCCTCTGTGCCCATGGCCCCATGTTGTAAACACCTATCCCCTTTCCCTCTGGAGTACTGGGCATCCACAGTTGAGTACAATGGAACAGTCTGTGTTCCCTCTTGATCACCATTCTGCCTGACCTTTACATGGGCTATTCAAGGAGTGTAGGATCAGGAAGGCTCTTGTGCATTTCACTCATTGCATGTACTGGCATAATGGCCACATAGACATATAGCTATGAAAGGCCACACGCATACAGGTACCACAGCCTCAATCCAATGGTATACGTGAAGTATCAGGAAACCCATAACCAGAGGGCCTGACTCTCCTTTCTTACACTAGTTTAATGCCATTCAGTCCCCACCATTCCCACCCCCCTGATGTCCTTTATGCAGTGAGTAGAAGCCAACAGACACAGAAACTGCTCTTATACATTACATCCAATGGACAACAGTAATACACAAAGACACAAGCCAGTACACTACAACACACATGTATATACAAATGGTATTGGAGAGGATACAATGCTTGTTATCATCTTTGCCAGTAACTATACTATGAATATATTTATTCTGATTTTACAGGTCATGTCATAATTTGTGCTTCTACTTACACTTTCAAAATCTGCAAACTTCTTTTAAAAATCTGTTTTTTTCAGTGATTTGGTATATAGCATGTTTTAGCAACACTTTCCATATCGTTTCACTATATTTCTGCATTAAACTTAAAATATGAAAATTAAAACATTTAAAGGTGTTTAGCACAGCTATGTCAAATTACACCTAAAATAGCTGATCATACAAAAATATTTTTGGCAGGGATGTCTTTGAAAAAAAAGGGGAGTCAGAATGGCCTCCAGGAACTTACACAAAGGCAAGAGTCTAGAGATGTACAATTGATTCATTTTATTTATAGTCGCAATACACAGTAATTGCAACATACTGTCTGCTTTTTAGACCCCATTTCTTTCAAGGTCTCTCACTGCTCCTACCCATATGATATGTTGTACATCTAGGCACAGAAAGAAAGGGAAGGGAACTTGGTGGGGAGGAAATACAGCTGGGTGGTGAGAGTATGAAAGAGAAAAAGAAAAATTAAGTGCTCCTAAAGCAGAGGTTCTTACAAGCGGGGGTTCTTGTAGTAAAGGGAGTCTCCTTACTGTCATCTAAAAAGTCTTCCTCCTCATCCTCCTTTCTCAGTCTTCGCTTGGTCTCCTCATCATAAATGAGGCCCAGCAGATTGGCGGGGCTTTCACTCTCCCCATGGCACAGCTCATTGAGTCGGACACCAATTGCCTGCCAAGAGAAAAGAAGGAAGAGAAAAGAAGAAAGTGAGAACTCCTTGAGGTTCACTTGGAGTTAACAACCCACGTCCTTTCTAGAGATAGCTGGAGACTTTAGGTTAAGGACAACATATTGGGCATCATTTTTATCAGTAGAGATTATTAACTAGCATTATTTTTATCACTGGTTCAGGATAAAATAATGGATAAGTGCTTGAGAGGTGGGGGTGGACTACTGCCACTTAATACATATGAAATATTGTCTTCAATTTTGTGGTTAAAATTTTGAAACTTTCAAAACTTGGGGAAAAATATATATTTAATAAAAACTACAGAAGCAGGAAGAAACTGGGCAAAAATGGTCTGAATTTTCCCTCAACTCAGCTGTTCTTTTTTATTAAAATCAAGCAATGAAATACACCAGCTTTTCACCAAGAACTTCTGCTGAGAAAGTGCAACCTAATGATTAGGGCAGTTTCAGACTTGGAAACCAGGGTTTAAGCCAATGATCTATCACACGCTTGATCTGTGACACTGGGTAAGTCACTTGGCCTCTCTCCACATCAATTTTTCATCTGTAAAATGAGGAATAACAGCATTTTCCTACTCACAGGAGTACTGTGAGAATAAATGCATTAAAGATTGGAAGGTGCTCAGATACTATGGTAATGTGGGCCATCTCAACTTAAATGGATAGATTCCCAGTGAAGAAAAATAAAAGCTTCAGATCTCCAAATGATTTTTGTTTCCTTGTGGCTGTTTGAGTCCACCATTACCACATGCAAACCAAAGTCAGGGAAGCTGTTGCTGATGCTATAGCAGGGTATATTAGCAGGCAGAATGCTTCATAGTGCCCCTATTTCAGAACTAAAGGGATTTTCCCAAGTAGTACTGCCTATATAATATGTGTATATGTAAGAGAATGTGCAAGGTTACACACATTTTGACAAGTACACCATTTGATAAGCTGGGAAATGTTTCTTGGTCAGCGGTACACCACTTCTTCCAAAAGCCAGCCTGTTCTTTTGGGACCTGTGGGGTCATTACTTACATCTGACATAGAGAACAGATTTGAAATGAGGCAGAAAACAGGCATGATCTTTATTGACCTTACAGCCACCAATGACACTACATGGATCAAGGATAGACTCCATTCTATGATACCTGACTGCAAGCTATAAACTTTTACCATGGACATGATCTCCAGCAGACCATTCAAACTCACTACCAGCCAAGGAGAAAAAAAAAAAAGAGTACAAACTCTGAAGAATGGAGTTCCCCAAGTGTCACTGCTTGCACCAATACTTTTCAATGTATATACCTCAGACTTACCACATACAGCATCTATGTGATACATGTACATTAACAATGTTGCCATAGTAGCCCAAAGAATAGACATGACAGAACTAGGAAAGATACTGCATACTGACATAGGCCGTGATGAGTTCCAGCTCCACAAGTGGTGTTTAAAGTTGAGCATCAATAAATCAGTATCATCACTTCTACCTGGACAATCATCGAGCCAAGAACACACTGAATATCAGAGTAGGCAACCACATGGTTCCCCATGAGCATACCCCAACCTACCTAGGAAACACATTAGCCCATTTCCTCACTTATAAACATTATGGGTGTGCGAAACAGGCTGTATTCAATTTGGATTTGGCCTGAATCGGGGAAAGTGATTCAATTAGTAGATTTGGATCACTGTCCCCGATTCGATTCAGCCAAATCTGAATCTGAAGATTCAATGCTGATTCAAAGAATCAGTGATTCAGCTGATAGACACAGCTTTAAATGTTTTTTCTACATACCTCAAGGTGCCAGGCATGGCTCATGAACACTGTGATGGTGGGGCAGATGGAGAGTCCCATAGGAGTGAGGGGAGACCCTTTGTGTGCTTGGCAGTGGACCTCCCACACCCTCTGGCTCAGCAATTGGCCATGGGGGGACCCCAGGTGTGCCCCCAGACCCTGGAGGCACCAGTTGCCAAGCCGGGAGGGCACAGGGGCATGGAGGGGGCAGCATGCTCCCTGGTGGACCAGAAGTGCTTCTGGTCCACTTCTGGGGCTGCTGCTGAGCACACTGGGGACCCCCATGCTCTTGTGGGATGCTCCATCCGCCCCACTATTGCAGCATTCACAAGCTGCCTGGTACCTTGAGATATGTAGAAAAAGCATTTAAAGCTGTGTCTATGTCTGAATCATCGAATCTTTCCGAATCAATTCTGAGGGTTCTGATTCGATTTGGAGAGATTAAAGGGCCTCCTGATTCAAATTGGATTTGGAGATTCAGCCGCCGAATCAGGCCGAATTGAATCAGTGACCAAAGCTTCACACAGCCCTAATAAACATCTCATTTAGAAGGTCAGCAGTAAAGTCTCTGCATGGGTAGCTGCTTTAAGATATTTTAATCAGCATGACAGGGTGCCAACTCCAAAGTGCTCAGAACCACTGCACTTGCAATGATATATGTCCCCGAAGAATATTGTGCTCCTGTATGGTTCCGAAGTTGTCACATTAAAAAGCTTAACACTGTACATAGTGATCTGAGGCTCATAACAGGCTGCACAACCTACATATACTCCCTTAACTCTTGGGCATTAGACCAAGTGATATAAGAAGACAGATTCTAACATCATTACTGGCAATAGAGGCAAGAGATTATGAAAATCACCTGCTCCATTAACTGTTAACTGAAAACACAAACAGATGGAGCCTTAAGGGCTCAAAAGTCATAAACCAAGTTCCTGGAAGATACTGTGGGTGTTGACCCAAACCTCCAGGCAGCAACAGAGTGGGCTGACTGCTGAGAAAGGTCAGACCTATTCCTACAACATTTTATAATGACACTAAATGGATCCCCCACCAGGTATGGCCTTGACAGAGAAGCAGGGGTCAAGCTGAAGAGACAGAACTGGACATGAACCCTTCAAAACAATACTGTACAAGATGAATATCTTGAACAGTCCCCAGTGTGAATGTGATGTCTAACAAACAGCACAGCACTGAATCAAAAGCTGCAATCTTTACAAATGCCCAGACAAGCGATAATATCAGACAGTGGCTCATAGATTTTGAAGTTGATATCTGACACCATGAGAACGAGAGAGAGACAGAAATGAAAGCTATTCATTTATTTTAATAACCATTTACCACTGAGGTTCTTTTGCTTTTAGAGGGGATGCCCTGAAAGGAGACTAAAGCTGATTTTCAGACCCTCTGTACCATATCAACTATCTTCCTAGACTGAAGCGAGGCAGAGAAAGAAAAGCAGTCACAAATACGTATTATTAAGCTCATCTTCATTGGTACTAAGCAGCTCCTGGAAAATACTTCAATAACGGACAGGAAAGACTGTTATGGAATAAAAGAAAGCACTACTGCAGTGATTTGCAAGCTTATCTAAATGGTTGCCAGTCTCAGTTATCTGTGAGGATGCACATTGCTAAATATAATCCAAATCCCTCATGCCTTCTCCCTTCCTCTGTACTTCAGTTATTTAAGGAAGAAATATCTCCTTTGCTTTCTTGCAGCAATATGTGGAAAATCATTGCTTTTTGCTCTGTTGTCTATGATAAACATCTGAACAATAACGTATAATTTGCAGCTTCCTAACTAATGAACAATGAATTTCCTAGTAGCTACTGACTGCAAAAATTACTCATGGATTTCTTAGTTAATGGATGGAACACAACATTTCAAAATAGAAGAATGCAGCTTTTCAGACGAAGCCACAGGAAATGATAGACTTTTCAGTCTATTTTGGTCAGCCTAGTCTATCATTTACAGACAATGTCACTGTTGGGATTGCATGATGAAAAGGATTAGTAATGGGCCCATTACTTCTAGTGGCAGATCAAATCCAGGCTAGGGAGGTAGTGACTTAGAGTTTTTTTTATCATCTGAGGGCTATTAGGTAGCTAATATTAAATAAGTCTGCTGGTCTCTGATGAGGTCTTTGTCTATCCTCAAGTTTTATAATGGCACCCTCATTGAGTGATGACCCAGAGTCCTAGATCCCTTTCCAATCAGAAAAAGCATCACTATAATTAGCAAATAGGCACCTTCCTGGTAATCTGAATGAAGAGGCAAAGCACTGAAAGAGACTGAAGACTGATCTGCCTTCCCAGTTCTATGCCTGCAGTCTAGAGTCCCGCACTATAGTGCAGTGGCTCTGTGTCCTCTGTCAATGCAAAGTGGCCCCAGAGCCAGGATAGCAGGTCTTGGGTTGTACAGTGGACAGGAATCCTCTGGTAGCAGAGAGCAAAAATAGTGGTCCTTCTGTTCCCTTATGCTGCCATAGGAGTTGTGAAAAGTGGGGAGAGATCTGGACTGAACTTCCTTATGTATAGGCAATCCTCAACTGTTGCTGATAAACCAGCATTATTTAAAGTGTTATGCTAATAGGTTAATCTTGCATGCAGTTGGCCCAGGACTAAGGAAGAAAACTCCCCCAGCAGGGCTGCTGTGTACTCCATATCTAGAGTCCAGGGAAGCTCCAGTACTGCAGTAGAGTATGAGGCACTGCTTCTGGCCAAGCTGTTTCTGTCTGCTCCATGAAGAAGCACAAGATTTACTCCAGGGATACAATGCTTTCCTTACAAGAGCATTGACACAGTAAACATGGAAAGAAAGTTGCACTATCAAGATTAGGTTCCAAATCTACTTCCTAAAAATAAATAAATAGAGGTGTAGAAAATGCAACACCCACAAAAAATAGAGGTACACATTTTAAAAAGTGTTGTCCTGTGAAGTTGCAGCTAAGCAGCTAGCAAACAAATCCTATTCTGGGAACTGAGTGTCTTCTCAGGGACAGGGCTTCTGATACCAGTAAGTATAAGAGCTGTGTTGCAATCCACTTTATTTTAAACCCATAAAATAAAAATCAATATTTGCTGCAGGGAAAGATACTTTATTTCAAAGCCACCAAAAGGGAGATAGAAATAAAGGAAGAAGTAAAAAAATAATAATCATAAAGGAAAAGCTATAAATAGAACATTGAAGGTCATTTTATACCCTGTGTAATGGGTGAAGGTATCTGAAGGCTAGGGAGAAGCACAGGCTTTTGCCTTACAGTAGAGTTGTTTAGAAAAAAGCACTGTAGTATCTTTAAATATTGTGTCACTCAGGAATCATCATCCACATCATTGAGGGGCAAGGGAAGGTTTCATTTTCAGACTGCAATGTATACCTGACATTAATAACATGGTCTGAGGAAAAAGAAGGGACTAAAGAAATTTCCTGGCTTTCAAGAAAGGGAGTAAGTCAAAGTAATATTTACAAGCTTTGTTCTGTGGGTGTGCATGCCACAGTTGGAAGAAGGAGAATACAGAAGTACTTTTCTAATGTCCAAAGTTTGCGATGGGAGCTGTTCTTACTGATTTTCAGATTTTTCTAGAGCTTTGCCTAGACTGGCTAATCTTGATGCACAAAACCTCTAGCCTCAGCGAAGAGCAGTTACACCAAGTGGATATTCGCTTACAGAGATATGGCCATTTTTGTTGCAACATTACTAAATCAGCACAGGTGCAGGAAAAGTACACAGCAACTAGAGACATGAAATTCCCTGGCCCCCTCCTTCCAACCTTGCCCACGGACAGGAGAAAACCTCATGTGCTAGACCTTGGAACGATCTGTCAGCAATCGTCAGCTTTTAGGGTCTGCTCTTTGGCAGAAGGAACACAATGCCTGGTAGTTCAGCTGCCAAGCTGGACAGATCCACAGGATGGGTTCTTGTGCCGGGCGGTGGGGCCCAATCCTTCTTTCTATGGAGCCAGCCTGGCTGGGCGAGGACAGGGAAAACCCCTCCAGGGTCTGGCCCTCCCCAACTGGGAAGACCCCAGCTCAGGGGGCTGAAATGCGGGGGTGAGGGGGGTTCTTCACTCCTCCCCCTGCGCGTCAATGACTCACATTGGTTGGCCTTGCAAGGAGGGGAGGGGGTAATCACTCCCCACAGTTGAGCAGACCAGGGCTGGGGAGGGATCCTAAGCCAGCTAGGGGAAAACCCCTAGAGGCTGGGGATTCCCTCATGTGGTCAGATGCTAGGTTTGGGGCTTCGCCCAGGAGTGGGGAACTCCTTTCCCTCTCCTGACAGTGTGTCAGTGACTCGTACTGTCCTGTCTTGGGGGTGGGCGGCAACACTGGCAGATCAGAGCGGGCTTGGGGCTGGGGGGCAGTGTTCCCCAACTCTCCACCCCTGCAGAGCTGACAGGTACAGGCAGGATCAGGCTGGGGAGCAGTCATTGCTGCCTCAGCCCTGTGACAGCCATGGGATAGGCCTGGCCCTAGCTCAGCCAGAGCAGACAGCACAGCTGAAGCTGGTCTGCCTGCCCTGTGAGGGGGTTAATGAGGAGCCCAATGCATCCTAGGATACTGGGGGACTGGACATAACTTGAGAGAAGAGGGGACTTGGGAGAGAAGTTCCACAGGCTGGCTTAACCTAAATCAGTTAAGTCTCATACTCCATGCATCCAGGTTTATCTTACACTGGGTTTGGCCATTTTGAAACTGGTTTGTGTGTGCTGAACTTCTGTCCTGTTACAGGTTTAAACCAGTTTCACATCATTTATATCAGTTTATGTGTAACTTCAGTCCTCAGCTGTACTGACAATCTCTTCTGGAAGAGGAAGGGCAAATAAAGCTATTCGCTTAATTTTTTTATACTTTAAATTCTGTCATAATACCTTCTAAGACCAATGCTTTTGGAGAACCCCAGAGACAAGCCAGAATCAGGCCTGTCCCTGCCTGAACAATCCCCCACCTCTACCGTCCAGCCCCTGTGTAAAGAGGTAAATATGTAATATATAAATTAGCTTTTGAAATAAAGTATCACACAATTCAAAAACATTTTGGTGCCTTCAGTCCAAGAAGGTTGAGAATTACTGCTCTAGTACTATACACTCAAGACATCCCTCGTTAGACTCAAAGTACCCCTTGAAATATGTTAGTTCTTAGTTTTCACTTATTTTTTTGACTGTGGAAAATAATAGAGACATTTTTGTTGCAAAGAACTCAGAAAGCCCACAACAGATCAGGATGTTTTTAACAGTATGGATTCTTATCTCATGAGTCATGAATAATGTTTGCACACCTAACAGTGCTACCGTTGTGGTTGAGAGTGCAGCACCCTATCTGAGAATCACTGCTCTAGTGGACTTAGAATAAGTTTTACCTGCTTTGAGTCTGGGTCTAAGTACTTTTGCATCCCTGTTTAAAATGGATTTTAATGCAGTATTTTGATACACATTTAAAAATGTTTTTAACTTAAAGAAGAAAGGTGAAAACTTACATCTCCCCACTGGTAGAACAGTTTGGCTGCATTCCATTGCAGCTTCTGGTTCCGTTTATTTCCCACTATAGGAGAACGTCCACGGGACAGGCCTTTCTTTGTGATGTTCACATGATGCCCTTTCATCCACTCTGGCCAATTGCCACGGTTGCAGCGGTGAACAAAGCGAGCACATTCTAGGAAGAGGGCTGCTCTTGCCACCACAGGAGCTTCCTGAAAGGTTTGTAAAATGGCATTAAAACAAGTTAAACAACCACATCTACTTTACTGTTGTCATCTTCTGGACTGCTGAGCACTATGTGTGGAGACACGTGGAGAATGCAATAACCCCTAGGGCAACTAGTGCAGCTATGGTCTACATCTTGAAGCATGAGTCTCTTATCATCTGAATTGGAAGAGTAGGCCCATAAGATATAAACTTCTCCATCACAAGAAGGAGAAAAAGATCCATATATGCATCAATATGGGTCACAACAGCAGGAGATCATATGCTATCTTCTAGTTTTTAATGGAAACACATTTTCTTTCACTGCTAGTATTCCTCACTCATAGTTGAGTCAGACAATGTCAGCTGACTTAGTGTGTGATAGAGATGTACCTGAACCAAAACCCCAGTTGACCCCCTCCAAACTTGGGACAGTTCAGACCTAAGTGTGAATTATTTATCTGGCCAATAATTGCTGTTGACAAAGGTGCCTAAGAGGTTTTGGAGTGGATTCATTAGACTGCCTAAAATGGAGATCGTAATAGTAATCTAAATAAGTAAATTCACATGTGGGAATATGGACTGTAATATAGCCTATTTCCACTTTCTACCTAGTTCATCCCTTTCACTGATGATTGCTTCTTTTTTATTGTTTTTTGCAAACATTGTGAAAATATTCCCCCACATATGCAAATCAACCACACACAGCCACTGGTTTTTTTTCTTTATCTACTATAATGGTGTCTGATAGCACACTGCTCTATGCTACAACTGCCTGATTTCCTGCTCACTATAAACCCACTTATTCAGAGATCTGTATAACAGCCAAAAATTAATCTGATTCAGACTAAAACTTTTCATAAGAAAATGAGCCAAATTTTCAGGCTGCCTTCATTAGTGAACCTGTAAATATTGTAGGCACAAATGCCATTTTAGGCAGGAAAATACCAGCCTTTTCACGCATGTTGTTTTTTTTTTCTGCCTCTGTGACTATATGGAAGCATCAATGAAGCCTTGCTGAAACTATGACCTATACAGCCTGTGCTGATTGTAATTAGATGCTGATGGCCACATTCCCTGATGGAGTAAATTAGCATAACTCCACTAATCTCCCTACTAATTTACATCTGTTTAAGATTAGGCAGCCAATTGTGAAAATATTGGCCTTCATTTTCCAAGCAAAAATTGTCATACATAGTTTTGCATATTGAAGATCCACTTTTTCTAACAGGGAGAAATGCTATCAAATCTCCCTGAATTTGTTATAAAATACTCCGCTCTGCCTTCATTTCATTTTTTGTTTTAAGTCAACCACCGCATATCCTCATAAATATAACAAGAGTTTAATTTAGCAGCAACTTAATTTTTCAGTGATGATTTATGTATTTTTCCTATTTTGTTTTTTGACCTTCATTTTAAAACTAGTTCTGAATATTTACCAGAAAACTAACAACATTTAAAGTTGCAAATAGCACAATTTTTGGTAAATGAACCAAGTATGCCTTACAATAAACTACAGGTAAGATACACAAATTGGCTCTAAAATACATAAGAATCACGGCATGATTTTTTTGACAATTGTTCCCTTTTGTGTCTATCTTCCTTTTTTCTGCAAGTACTTTTACTAGGTATGAATTTGAAAGCACTGAAAATTGATGTAACACTATTTCCATAAAATTCAATGCAAATTGTACCACTGAGTTCTGCACATTTTGCCACTGGGTTCACAGAATAAAGAAAAATTTTGAAATTCCCACCCAACATGTTTGAAAATGGAAATCATTATTTGTTTCATAGGCTAGGTACAGACATTGAAAAAGCCTAAGGCAGAATTGATGTAAGGGCACAGACAGAAATGACGTATGCAAACTCTCTGATCACACAACAAATTAACCCTCATTGTACAATAGTTCAAATGAAGTTGCTACTAAGCAGAGTGACTTCATTAATTTCTGTCAGCTTTGGCAGCAAAAGCAGCCTGGTTCAGCTGCTGTCTCTAGATGGGAGGGGGAGAAGGCAAGAGAGGGATGTCCCTTCTGGGGTTTTCTTAGTCCCTTTCTGGAGTTTTCTTCCTGCTGGATCAGGAGCATCAGTCTAACTCATGTCAATTTCTATGTATCACCATGAGCTAGACCCAGGAGCTGCACTTCTGTCTGAACCCTAAGGTACTCAGTTTTATGTAATCAGTGTAGTTTAGATCAGTAGTGAACAGAACACACATTCGCTCTTAGGTCTGGGGTGGGAGGGGGGCAAATCTTAGACCAGGTCCCATCATTTGGAAACCAGCATATGTGCGCCAGACTTCTGGTCTGTTGTGGGTATAGACCAGTTTTGTGTGTCGAACTTCTGTTCTGCTATGGGTATAAACCAGTTTTTGATTGCTTATACCCGTAAAGTGTAGTGCCTGTACCTGGCCTTAGAGTGCAACTTTGAAATTTGGAGTTGTCGCTTCCAAAGCTATCAAGATTCCTCCCAGGATAATGTCCTTATGACCTAACACAGTGACTGAAAGAAAGATGTCTTCCTCACCTTCAGATTTTTTTTTCTTTTTCTGTAATTTTTAGCAATAAAAAATAACATAGCAAATGTTCAACAACATTCCTAAGTCCACACTGTCCTTGAGCAGGCTCTGAAAAATTTTGAAATACTGATTTCATGGTTCATAAATGCATGTGTTGGATATATTTCCATAGGGAGTTTAACCAAATGAAGATCTACATCTAAAAAATCTTCTTCTTCTGTATGGCTAGGGCAAGCAACAGCAGAGAAGGTGAAGGTTAATTAAAGTTGTATGTTGAGGTTTGATAGCCAGTTGATGACATCCATGCTAGCTAAGTGGATTGCTTCAATCCCTCCATGATATGCAAGTTCAGGGCAGGAGTTTGCAAGGTGGCTCACTTACATGTGGCATACACAGTTCAGCAAGTGCTTGATGCCCCATGGGGGCATCTAAAGAATCATGCACAGTAAATCAGTTAAGATACAGAATAACAGATCTGCAAATGGCTGAGCTTCCTTTAGCTCTGTGCCATGTTTCTGGCACTCCTGAGCACAACCTGACTGCCTGTTCCTGCTTGCATGAACCAAATCCAGAGGTTCCTCTGGGAACATCCCGCATTGCTATTCTTGATATCTTTGTGCCCACTATGCTTGAAAAAGGACACCTCTGGAGTGACTTCCCCACCACTTTTCTGGATTTGGTACATCTGAATGGGAGCACAGGAGTGGGGGATACACAAAAGCCAATGCCTCTGGAAGCACTGGGGATGTGATATAGACATGCCATCAGAGGACACGTTCCATCTAGATTAGCAAAAACTGAAACCTTTGGGGTGATGCTAACTGCATCTTGATGTGACATTCTGTTGCTGTTTTGCTTTCATTTTAAATGTAAATGAGGACAAAAAATATATTTCTGGTTTTCCTAGAAAAATGGGAAAATGTCCCCAGTTAGACATTATGAAACACTTAATGACTAGCTGAGTCAGCAGCCCAAAGTCAGTGTGTCAGTGATACCAGGGAACAGACAGGATGTTTGTGGTCTGAAGCAACTGCTCATTGCCTGAGAAAATCATCTTGTGTTACAGCCCACACACATCCAAGCAACTAAAACAAGGGATAGGTGAGGAGGCCTTATATCAAAAGGACAACCCCCCAACTCATCCTGGAGACTTAGCAACACAAGAAAGATGACATCCGGCACGTCAGTTTTGTTGATTCAACTATACTGGTATATCTACTAGGATATGAGAAAATGAAGTAAGGAGGAGGTCTAAGGCAGAGACTTAATTTTTTAGGCCTTCCATGGGAATTAAAAGATGGGCAGAGAGAGGGAAGAAAGAGGAAGGATGATACAATGGTCCACACTAGCCTGTAACTGAGCAGACCTGGGTTCAGTTCCCTGCTCCACTACAGACCTCCTTTGTAGCTTTGGGCAAGCCAATTATAGTCTCCCTGTGACCTCTGCCTCAGCTTCCCCAACCAGAAATGGCTCTTACCTCGCAGGAGTATAGTGAGGTACTCAGACACTATCATAATGGGGTCACCTGAAATAGAGGATGTGTGCATATATTAAGAGCGCCTCATGGACAAGTCTTACTCTGTGGCAAGCCCAAGGCACAGCTAAAAATCAGACATGATAAACTCCTAAAGCTGTTTTAGTGGATATTGCTCCATAGTCATTTCATTCAAACAGAGTAACTGTGATGAGCAACATATCAGAAAAACATGCAACTAGCAGGGAAGACCTGCTTCTACATACCCTGCCTCATGTGAGAAATCAATACTGACACACAGTTTTGGACGGATGAATAAGGACTGCCTTCACAATGAAGGGATTGCAAAACAGGGGCTGGGTTCTTGTTTTGGGGGAGTCCTGCTCAGTGGTTCCAAATTTAAAACATTAAGATGGCAGCCTGCAGCGAGATTGGCCTTGCTGAATGTTGCCATGCGACAAATCCCTGCAGTATCTTACCTGATGCCCAGAACAATCTGAAGTAGCAGCAAGAGAAAGATGAAGATGTGACAGAATGGACAGGGATGGATTCACACCACAGAGAAACACATCACAAATGGAGAGAAATGAATCAGGCAGGCGATGCATAGCTGAAAAGAATCATAAGTTACCACAGTCACTGTCAAAGCTCAACACAGCAAAATTCTAACACCACTGCCACTGTCTGCAGAGTTTCGTTTTCATGTCATCAAAGTCAAGCTTCCACCTTTTTACATGAGGATTTCTACATCCTTCTGTTTTCTGTATTGTATAAATCAGCCTGAATGAGAATCCACACTGTTCTTCACAATTCATATTTCACATATCCCCAAAGGAGCTTCTCAATAGTCAATTTAGTTCATATTTAAAACAGCAAGGGGGATGATCTGGATAAATAGCTGGTGCAAAAGTGAATTAAACTAATATAACATCAAGCTACTGCCTGAGTTCAGCAGCTCCTGTAGGGGCTTATGACAAAAGAGTATCCAGTTCATTTCTTGTCTCCTATGAGGATAAATGAATTATACCAGACTACAATACTAATCTGGTTATGGTAACTTTCTGGAGGTCCTTGCTTTCCACACTGTGACCCATTTCCTATTCTCTGCTGGAAAAAAAAAATCTGTTTTTAAAATAAATCTGAGTACTTGTAAAAAACATAAATTTTATAGCTGCTTTTTATCTTGCTATAAAGCTAGTATATCATATATGCAGCTGAGCAACTGTATGCATGCCAGCTCACGAATAAGCATTACCCTAATCTAGAAGAATTTCCTAAAAGGGTTACTTCAGTCTCTCTGACTTTTCAAGACTTGGGTTTTCTATCAGTATTGACACTGATGTCAAGCAGTGCCATTTGTGTCATTCAGGCCTTGTCTTAAAAAGAACAGATGTGCTATTTCAACACTTCCACTAACACATTCTAACTAACTTATTTGGGAAGGCTAGTACAGACAAAGCAATTCAAACTTTAAATACAGAGAAACCTAGATTTCCTCCAAAGCCTTTACTTGCTTGGTTGAGCCCATACTAAAGTTGCTGTACCTGGTCTACATTGGTCTTCTCAAACATACTAGTAGGAATATTTTAGCTATTGCATTCTAACACTATACCTTTTATCCTCATATAGATGAAGCTTCTGTATCATCTGAGGTGTAAGGTCTGAGATACCAAATCATTTCGCTTCAGCCTCAAATTCTCTGTACAAGGTAACAGATGTATTTTACAGCCAGACAACACTAGATTTCAGATGGTGGAATAGGGGCGAAGTCATCTGTAACCTGTTATTAATTCTTCTAAAAAGCTCAGCAAACCATAACAAAATCCTCAGCATTATAAAATTCAGTTAAGGATGGATGTCCCATTTTGGGTAATATGTTTCTAAGCAGTTCTTAATCTTCAAGACAGTCCACAGTTCAATGTATATAATAAAACACTACATTTGCAACACTTGTAGCCCTTGTTTCACATGCCCATTTTTCTAAATTACTGTGTCAAAACTGTTTAAACTATTCAGGCTTATCAGGAGACCTTTGGTCACTTGAAGAATAGAATTTCTTGTGAAAATCTGCATGAAAAACATGCTGACAAAGTTTGTTAGATATAAATTATAATTTGATTCCCCCTAATTTTTAAGAGTTGTCATAGCAACATGGCTAGGGGTAATTACTTAAAATAAGCAGCTTTTAATTTGCATCAAATTTGAATCCCACTAATTTATCAAAAGGTTGGAAACAGCAATTAAAGGAAAATGCTTTCTGCTAAACTGTTTAAAAAAAAAAAAGAGAGAGGATTTTTCTCATAATAATATAATTTGCTTCTGGCCAGTGCAGAGAAATGACACATTGAAAGCTTTTCAAATTTACAGCAAATATGATTTTTAAAGCTAAAACATTTTGCTCACTTTGTAGGCCAAATGCAAACTTAACGGAATACTACAACAACTAACCCATTCTTGTAATTTAAAACACAATCTTTTTTTCTCTCCCACTTACCCATGAGCCTTTCAAATGACTTGGCCCTGGAGGCATGCCTATGTCAAACTGGGCATACAATTCATATCTGTATCTACCCAAAAAGAAGACATCTGCTTAGGGCAGGTTCCACAGCCCAGAAAAAGCTTTATAAAAACTGGCAGATGGTAGAACTGGGTAGGACCTTTGGGCATTTGAACACATGGTTGTGCCACAGCATTGGGTGCTTTTAAAAGTGCCTGGCACTGAGGCTATACAGTTGTATAAGTGGAGAAATGCACATCGGTGCTGTGAAAATGGCGGCGGCATGCTTTTGAACTAAAACATATCGGGGGTGTTTTAGTTCAAAAGCACACCACGACCATTTTCTGTGTACTGATGCACATTGTGCCACTTATACAACTGCACGTGGCACAGTGCAGTGTGCATCAGCTTGTGTGCAGAGCAGACTCAATCAAGTCTGCTCTGACCTGCCAGGTCTTGGGCATGTCGTGGCACAAAAAAGTATGTGTATAAATGCCCTTAGAGACTAACTGATTCAGAGAGGCATGCATTTTCATAGGCAACAACCTATTATGCTTTTACACTAGATCTACTGATTTTTTAAAAAGTTTTTCTGTATTAGCATGCACTGCAACTGAGATCAGATTCCAGTCCAGGGAGTTTAATCAGGATGATCCCACATTGTCCTTTCATAGAAATCAACACGATTTCATGCTGAAACCAAAATAATTTAACTCATCTAACAGAGAAGGAATAGAGTGAACCCAGTTCCAATGATCCCCTGGGCCATATATCATATGTGTTTATTGATTTGCAGTTAACCTAGTAAATAAGAATACAGTGAATGGGGCTGTAGCTCAAATACAGGACAAATTTTAAGGAGGAGGGAAAGACATCTCCCCTTGCCAGTTTTGAACTAAAACATATCGGGGGTGTTTTAGTTCAAAAGCACACCACGACCATTTTCTGTGTACTGATGCACATTGTGCCACTTATACAACTGCACGTGGCACAGTGCAGTGTGCATCAGCTTGTGTGCAGAGCAGACTCAATCAAGTCTGCTCTGACCTGCCAGGTCTTGGGCATGTCGTGGCACAAAAAAGTATGTGTATAAATGCCCTTAGAGACTAACTGATTCAGAGAGGCATGCATTTTCATAGGCAACAACCTATTATGCTTTTACACTAGATCTACTGATTTTTTAAAAAGTTTTTCTGTATTAGCATGCACTGCAACTGAGATCAGATTCCAGTCCAGGGAGTTTAATCAGGATGATCCCACATTGTCCTTTCATAGAAATCAACACGATTTCATGCTGAAACCAAAATAATTTAACTCATCTAACAGAGAAGGAATAGAGTGAACCCAGTTCCAATGATCCCCTGGGCCATATATCATATGTGTTTATTGATTTGCAGTTAACCTAGTAAATAAGAATACAGTGAATGGGGCTGTAGCTCAAATACAGGACAAATTTTAAGGAGGAGGGAAAGACATCTCCCCTTGCCAGATTGATGCAACACAGCATATTTCTCTATTACACTGTTCTTAGATGCAATATGATTTGTTACAGCATATACTGTACTGCATTCTCAGAAGGGTATTAAAATAACACAGCACAATCTAAATTGACTACAGTGAGATCCTCCTTCTTCCACTGACTCCCACCCCCCCATCCTCCATTTTCTGTTTATTTGTTAATTTAATGCTCACACTGGGTGCAGCTTGGCAGCCCTGGAGAATGAAATCATTTTCACGTAGCATGAGCAGCAGGACAGAAAGACTTCCCACACTGCTTTGCAAGCTTGTCTCAATCCTGACTAGCAGGAACCACTTCTGAAAGGATGGGTCAGTCTTCCAGATGATTCACAGCTTCCCTACTCTGCTGATGCTGCAGTCATTCCACAAGGGTACCAGTTAGTACCAGTCATGATGGTGGGCTTCAGAGAAACAGACACCTGCCCACTAGAAAATGGAATGAGCACAGCACATGCAAAATCAGATGGGCACAGCAACTTGTGGCCAATAACTAAGGTAAACTGGGTTTGAACCTGCAGCTTTGGGGAAGATATGTTGCACACTGTCATAAACAGTGCAGCATATGTAAAAAGGTGTAATTCACAGGTGTGATATCCCACCCATGAATTATAAGATATAACCAACCAATGCTATCTGGGCAGAAAACTAGCTTAAGCAGAAAAGTCACGGAATACAAATGCTCCACAAGGCTAACTATGAGAACAGAAACAGCAGCAGCAACAGTTAGAGATAAGGGAAGGGCAGAGAAGAGAGCAGCTGTTGATGACATTAGAGACCAGGACATGTGGGAAGAGAGAGAGAGCAGCCTAAAGGAAGAGGACAAAAGTAGAGACAGTACACTATAAAGGATAGCAAAGGGGGAACAGTAAACTGCATTGAGCTTATATCTAGGACTTTGATCTTTGAATTATCAAATCATATACATTAAACCCCCCCAAAACAGACAAACCTGGACTCTTGGAGTTTTTCTACTGAGTGGCTGTGGGAACTAACAGCCAAACATCATTTTGCTCACAGATCTACCGTAGCCCCTCAGTGGCACTGCATCCCCGTAGCTAGCTGTGACCCACTCCTTGCTCTATAAACTATATGGCAGGGTAGGCAATGTTTTTTGGCCAGAGTGTCAAAAAAACCACAATGTCTACCTTGGAAGATACCAGAGTGCCAACATGCTGGAGCCCGGAGTTTGCAGCCTCCTGGCTGCAGCTGGCCCACGGGGTCCATTCTGCTTGCAGCAGGGCTTGCAGCCCCGCAGCCACCTGCTGGGAACAGCCTCGGCTCCGTAGCTGGCAGCAGTTGCTTAGATCCTGGGCTCGCGGTGTTGTGCCGAGCAAAGTGGTCTAGTGTGCCATGCTCAGTACGCGTGCTGGCGGTTGCTGACCCCTGCTATATGGTGTTATTGTTATAAGAGGTTTACAACACGGAAGCTTAATGGTTGCTAATAGAGCTTTTAAATTCAGGCTCTAAGCTGTATGTTAGTAATAGTGTTATTAGGGGGATCTGTGTAATAATGGAGATCCATTTTCTTTGCCTATTATTTAGTCACTTTAACTAATAACAATAAAATTTTGCACGCATATAAAACTGTCCTCTCAGAAGGCTTTATCAACCTTATCTAATAACAGTGGTATTTCAGTATGCCCCAGCCTGTACATTATTACTTAGCAGAATGATATAGGTTAATGAAAGCTTGGCACAAAGACTTACAAGATCAAGTGCAGCTGCCAGGATTGAAGCATCAGGGATTGTGCCTGGCTCACAGCAGTTCAGAAGAAATTGAAAGCGCTTCATGCCTTGTCTTATTGCTCCCAGGTTCACTACATTTTTAGATTTTCCACCTTCCTGGTTGGAGGCCAAATGATCATCAAAACCGTGGCAACCTAAGGAGGCAGAGGGTAGAAAGGGGATCCGGGGAGGGGATGGGGACCAAGGAAGAAAAGGGGAACACAGTATCTCACAAATAAAGAGTTGCATAGAAATCCTGACATGTATGATCCTGTCCCAGCTCCTTTCTTCAACTTGACAACCTGCATCATGCACAATCCGAGCATCCGTGGCAGTTCCTATGCCACTCAATAGCTTAGATGAGACATGTTACCTGTGAGCCTGATTCCTAACTTGCTTATATTGACATAAACAAAATGAATAAATGAACACAAAACATTCCTTGGATCTCAGTAGACTGCTTTAGATTTAGTCTAGTTTAAGTGAACTCAGAAGAGACCTCAAGGAGGCCATCCCCCTCCCTGAAGGCAGGTTCAACTATACCTAAACCATTTCTGGCAGATTTGTGTCTGAACTACCCTTACAAAGCTCCAGTGCTGGAGATTCCACAATATGGCCCAATGTCTTTATTTTTTTTTTAAATGCTACTATGCTATTAGAAACTGTTTCTGTTTCTTTGAGCTTTTTCCCGTCTCCCCTCACTCCCCCTCCAAACTGGTCAGTGCCTCTGACTTAAATTCCCATCCTTCGTAACGACCAATTGTTCTTATGAACAAGTATGCAATAAGCCTATCTGTTGTATATTATTTTGATAATTTTGTATTATCAAGCAACATTTAAACAAATTAGTAATAATTCTAAGAAATGCATGAGGCAGGTATCAGATATTATTTCCCAGCCTAAATTTCCAGAAGTGACTATTTAGTTTTAGAAGTCTTAATTTCAGGGTGCCCAGTTGAAGATCCCTTACATGGCCTCATTTGCACCCATCTCTTGAAAATCAGGCCCTTTCAATTGTCTCATATTTGGTGCACCTCAACATGGAAGCACCCATACTGAGTGCTTGACCAATCACTCTTGAAAATGAAACCAATAAAGTTCCTTTTGTGCATGATACTAACTTGGCATATTAATTTTGTGTGACAAGTCAACAAATCATGCTGCATACTGGAATGAAAACCTCCCAGTGATAAAGGCAGGTAGGTAGTTGAAGCCTACCAATATATGCAGTGAACGTAACTTGTGAATGTTATTTGGAAGAAATATTGAAATATTCGTTATTTGTTGGTAAAACACAAGAAAATTAAAGGAATCCTACACTGAAGCAATGAGCAGGGGATGTGTGGCTTTGACCACACAGCCTCTCCCCCCTCTCCAGTGCAAGCAAGGGAGATTAATTGGATTTCTTTATCCCCACAACAGCAATACCGTTCATGGCTCAGCTGCCATCTTTGCCTTCTTAAAGCAAAGTCAGAAAGGTCTGACGGTCAGGTGCATAACAGATGGGAGTATATAAGAGTTTCATAGCCTCTGAGGGCACAGGGCTGGAAACCTTAAGCAGCTGGATAGAACTGTCAATGAGTAGAAAAGGAGTAAAAGGAGAAATCTGAAAAATAGTTTGAAATCCAAGCTACCTAGTCAAAGCCAAGACTAGCCAGATCCTGAGCTTTCTTTTTATATTCCCATTTATAGGCATAGAAAGGTCTTAAAGAATAGCAAAGGAACACAGAACACTGGATTGGGACTCTGGTAATTTCTAACATGGATTTAAGGGACAAAAGTTAGGCAACACCTTTGAAAAGACATACCTTGCCAATGGAGTACAGAGAACAGCTGAACTCTAGCACTCCTCCAAAAATAGTTAAATGAGAAGCACCTAGTACTAAAGCAATAGGGAAACCCCAAATGGATATTTTTTTCCTTAATTATACAAACAGGGATTAAGCAAATTTTATTTTTATAAGAATGAATGTTCATGGTTGTCATGATATGCCCAGAAATAAAAACAAATCTGGTTTTGAACACATTTCATGAGAATAAAAGCCAGAGCCACCAAGAAGGATTCTTTATATATATATAAGTGGGCAACACTATCCTATTTGTACCTCTTCTTTGCTCCTCAACTATCTGCCACATTTAAATGTACCTGCTAGAAATACACAGCTATTATGCCATAATATCTTGTTTGGGCTGCACACAGATATTGGGTTCCACGTCTACCTAATCTCTCAGGTTCTGATTCTGTGCTGTGTCTCTATGAGGTGCAGAACAGAAACTCACAGTCCAAGTGTCTTTTTAATCCTGGTCTGCTCCATAAGGCCTCAAACAATGTAGATACTGGGTCTCAGCTACTTAGATATAGCAGCTTCCATGTGTTTTTCTATGGACAACAATCATACCAGAACCCCTTCAGCACCCAGTGCTGTACTTCCACCAAGTATTCCTAGAGTCTATAAAGGGATGCTGGAAATGCTATCTTATGGCTGTCTTCCACAAGCTCTACATGGGGGAAATCTTTACCTGGACATACCAGGGACTTATACTGCCCCTCTTTACATGATATAAAAATGGGACAGAGTATGGGTTAAGAACCTTTTACCTTACATTTTTAGCCCACACTCTTATTCTCAGGTCTTCAATCTGATATATGACAAGATAAACTGGTAATTTACTGATAGTTCAGGGGCTAGATCCTGAGCTAACTGAAATCAATGGGAATGATTGATTTTAATGACAGCAGAATCAGTCCCCCTTGTTAGTGATCAAGATGCTAATTTCTTTTCCCCACTAACGGAGGACAAGCTTGCATTAGCCAATGATCTTTAGCTGCTGCAAACTAGTATAGCTCTGTTAACTTCCCTGGAGTTAGGCTGATTTACAGTGTTGGGGATCCAGCCCAGTTAGTAGAAATCATTGCCTAAACTCTGCAAAAGCTTTACATATTTAGGGAGTTTTGTACTTCTCACTGCCACTTGCTGTGTGTATAGAAGATTATTTCTCTGAAGAGGCTTTATACAATGAACACTCAAAGTTATTTTGTCCAGTTTGTGAGAGAAAAATGCTACTGTAAGTTTTGCATTGAATGAAAAATGTGTTAAATAAAAACCTCAAAGAACAAAGTCTCCTCTGTAAAATACATTGCCACTCACTTCTTTAGCCTGATACTGCATTCTAAGTATAAGCTCAAGACCTCTTCTACATAAATGATCAATTGTATAATTCATACACGGGTATGAAATACATAAACATCCCAGTGATCTTAGTGACAAACTACAATGAAAGCTAACATTCATAAATAACTTGACAGATGACTAGTCTTTTTTTTCCTTTTACTCTAATTGGGTTTTTTGTTCTAATGCTTTGTACCCAGTTGTCATATTTTAAAACAAAGGCAAAGGGAGCAGGATGTGGAGAAAGCATAAGCACGGTGATACGACAGCACAACATCACAAATGCCAAAAAGAAGTTAGGACAGTAACACTGACAAAAGCTCTATCCCAGAGTCAGCCATTCATTCAGTTCTTCACAATTTAATAACACGTCCATCTTACTTGAGAGGTTTCTCCCTTGATTCCTAGGGAAGTTATGGATACTTAGAAAAGTTTACATCCCCATATACATGTTGATCTCTGTGTTACTTTTCACTGTATTCACAAAAAAATCCTACTCTCAAAGGCACTTTTGTATATTTGATTAACTCAGTTTGATATAATTTGGGAAAAATCATGTTACCCTTGTTAATCCCTAAATCACAAATTTCCATTTGAAACACATAGCATAATGTGCGTATACACTATTCAAAATACATGTATATATGCATGCTTGCAGGCCTAGGCTTTGATCCCACAAGTTCCAGAAGATGGCTGACCATGTATGATCTAGCCATACAGATTATATTGAGAATCTGTGCATTATATACTCATATTTATATCACAAACACACTCACACTAGCATAAGTATGTTTTTTTTGTCCTGGGATTTCTCTCTCATTACATATCAGCTTCTTATTGGATGTGATAACATAGTTCCTTTACTTTCACAATTCATTTTTCCAAATTTGATGTGTGAGACGTTTAGAAAAATGTCTCAAAATCCCAATTTTCCTAACCTTACAAACAATAGACAAGTCCCACCCATAAGAATCTATGCACGCTTTGTCAGTCTTGTCTTCCCCAACCATAAAGATCTTTTTCTTAGCTTTCACACCACCCACTGACTCATATTTATTATGGCATTTCTAATGCATGCACTGGATTTCAAAGCCAAGCATGTCCCGCATATAAATCCCTTTACAGACAAACACACAAATCTTAATGTACACTTCTCTTGGGCAGGTGAAAGAGATGTTTCAATTTTTCATCATAAAAGTATGTGACATACAGTGTTATTCACAATGTGCTGAAATACTTCAGATAGTTTAAAGCTCACATAGGTAATAAGAGCATCATCTTAGTATTACATATGCTAAGATGTGTTACACATAACATACACTATTATATAATGTAACACAGAATAAAGAAACTCTTCATTTGGGAATTGCAGTCATACTTGAAATTCTGTACATAAAATGCTGGGAACTTAAATTTAATAAGAATTTTGGATGTACAAGGTCAGCCTTAGATTTCCAATTTTGAAACACACCTGATGCAAAGTAGAATAGCAAACTGCACTCGTATCTCTAGCCAAAAGCTTTATGCTCTCATTTTGTAATAACAAATCGGTACAGTCAAACTGCTAACTGGCTGTCATTCCAAGCTGAGAAATAAAGGAAGGATCTTTGTGTTTTATGATTCATGTGAAGGATTTCACATCCTCTTCAATTGAATTAACCTCTTTCTGGTAATTTTTTGGCCAGATTTTGCTCAGAAATGCTTAATTGAGGTTAACGTGTAGAAAGTGTTGAAAATATGTGAGCATAGATAAAGGCAAACAAGACAAAAAAGATGCTAGGGGAAATGTAAGCAATGGAGGTGGGTTATTTTTAGGTTGATACAGCAACATATAGACTTCAGGCAAAAGACTAATCCTTTTGGACTACGAGGCCAGATCCCCAATAACATTTTAGTCACTAGTGAGAGGGTGCAAAAGTAGCTGTGTACCGCCTCACATTCCTTGGTGTTGAACATCCTAGGGTACAATTTAGAGTAGCCTTATGATTGCTCTGAGTTGTGCTGATTGACAGTGGATACCCAGGAGCTGTTTTGATAGCCAGAGGTCAGCCAAATGCAGTATTTCTTTGTTCATATTCTTTTCTTTGGTTGTGTCCCTGCTGATGCGGGGAGCAAGGTGAAGGTAAGACAGAAGCAATGACATCAGCTGTTACCTAAGGATTCCCTCACACTGGTGGAATTCTCAGGCTCTACTGGCTTGGCAGCCTTTGGTACGCTGGAGACCATGTGCTGAGTAACTACAACAAGGGCAAGGATCTAATCTAGAGCATATCTCTATTCAATTAATGAAACTGCATATGCAGCTTTCCTGCAAAATACAGGATGCCATGATTATGTTGATCTGATAACTCATATGTGGGTAGCTATCAATTCTGAAAAGAATCATTATGGTAAGACTGTAGCACGCTGTAGTCACGCTGTATAAGAATTGCTGTATAAGAAACCAATCAACATGTATTAGGAATGGACAAGCCAAAAGGACTTCACTTAATGACCAATGCCCTATATTTTACTTCTACTGTTGACATTGTTTGCTTAAACCAGAGGCAGCCAACATAGGGCTTATGGACCAGACCTGGCTCACAGAGTTGTTTTTTGGTCCACAGGAGAGGATCCAGGAATTTGGGGGTTGAACCCACCCCCAAAATCCAGAGTACAGAGCCACACTGACAGTACATATCAGCAATAGAGAGCAAGTGATGGCTGAATTAACTCCCACAGCTGCTGGTACTGCTCACCTCAATGCTGCCACCACTTGCCCCACTGCTGGGGCTCACCTGCTACCACTGTATCTGGAGCTGGCCTGTAAGGGTGCCAGGTGAGTTTGATAACCCTGGCATAGACAATGTGTTTTGTATTTACTATACTCCAAAGCCAAGTCATACAATGATGCAATCCAGCCACGGGTTAATATCTAATCATGTAAAATGTAATGTCAGGGAACATAACAAACCATGAAAATAGAAGAAAGAAGGATGAAAAAAAATCCACCCCTTTGTGTGTGTGTGTTGTTTTAAATAAAAATAAAAGAATGTCAAGATGTGAGGTTGGCTCCTTGAGAACAAGGATCAGGTTTCTGGGCTGAGACTATCTGCAATTGGATGCCTGCTTGAACATATAATATCCTATTCCTTTAAGTATTACTTGAAGCACTTTTCATAAAACCACTGATTTTTTAAAAATTGTAATTGCGTTTAGATATATTTTCTTGGAAAGCTATTATTATTATTATTATTATTTCTTTGTTTGAGAAAAAGGGACAGCATCTCTTTAACGAATGGTATGCAGACACTAGACATGCAAACACAGAAGAAAAGAGATAATTAAAACAAGGTTTATACAGCTATTTCCATTTCATCAATGCTAGACTTTGCTAAAGCTGTCATATAGTCGTAAAAAGCTGATGGAGCATCCATCATTATATAAAGGAATGAAAGATTCACATGCCTTATTTTGGACTGAGTCATTGCTTTGGATCAAGTATAAATTTTTCAAGTTTGTCAATTTGATTCTATTCAATTTTCCTTTGAAAGTCCAAATATTATATAATATTAATTTTGGAGATATTTCCTTTTTAAAAAATTCTAGGCTGCTAGAGTTTCTTTTAAAATCAAAATGAAAGAAAGGGGGAAGGGAAAGAAAATGGTTACAAAGAACAAAAAGTTGGAGAACTGAATGGTTACAAAAACAGTGAAAAGCAGGGAAAGGAGAAGAAGGGCTAAAATATAGAAAGAAAGATTGATAGGTAGATAGAAAGAAAAAGAAATAAAAGAAAAATTAAAAAAAGAAAAGAACCCTGATTTCTAACCATCTTTTTCTTCTGTGTGATGAAGCTTGGATGAGTGTCTTCGGCAGGTGCGCCATTTACCAAGACGCTTGAAGAAATTCTCCTCTTCATCTCGCCCATTCTCCAGGCCACCTCCTGGTCCTCCTTCTGACAGTTTCACTGCACTAGTGAATTTCACCTGAACAAATGAAGAGGTAGACTGGAGTCTCATCATGACATTGTATGGTCTCTTTCATTTTTGTCATGGAAATGAAGCATATACAGGATAGGCTATAGCAAGGGTGGGCAATAATTTTGGGCAGAGGGCCGCTTACTGAGTTTTGGTAAGCCATTGAGGGCCACATGACAGGCAGCCAGGGGCAGATAAATATTAATTTTCTAAAGTTTTTAGGAGCCCTGTGGGCCGGATAGAATGGCCTGGCAGGCTGCATCTGGCCCATGGGCTGCATTTTGCCCACCCCTGGACTATAGCATTGTACATCATAACAGCAACAGATCTGGGTCTATGCCATTCCATTGCCAGAAAGGGAGTCTTCTCAGACACCACAGCCACTACCATCTTTTTTCCTGATCTCTCATTTAGATGATGATCTCTTATTGCTGTGACCATACCATTTGACTTCTATGTCCTCATCTGACCCCCTTGACACGACTGTTCTTTGTTTACTTTTCAGCTACCTGGTTCCATCTTACATATGTCCTTAAAGACTTGTAACTTTCAACTCTTCCCTGTTTTTCCAAAGTCACTTTTATGTCCCCCCATTATCATGTCCAGTAATACAATAGTCAGCCCCACATACAAAAATAGTGAAGTAGTATCATTGCTGTCCCAGCCTGGATCATCACCCAGCACCTCTCTCATCTCAGGGGAAGGGAAAATGTCACCTGCCATTTTCAGTCTCTCTCCTTGCAGGATGGCCTCCCTTGTGCTTGTGAGACAAATACAGCTATCACCACCTTAATGTGGTTATGCTGATCTTTGGTGAGGGGTTTGGATCTTGGAATTCTGGAAGGGGGTGTCCAAACCCAGAACAAAGTACTTCAGGGTCTCTATGTATAGAAATATGTTAGACAGAAGAACAAATGGGAGGCAGGGACAAAGGCATATTACTACATAGATGCTCTTTCACTTCCTTAAAGATTGTGTGGAATCAGAGAAACAAAGAGGTTACCCCTCCAGAATCCAGGGTAAGAATGTCCCCACTACACCACCCCACAGAGCTGCTGGTACCCAGCCAGGATGGTTAGGTTGAATGCATGCACACTTACAAACAGTAGGTCACAGACTTCTGACCTTGGGAGGTAATTGGTTCCATGGCTTTGGAATTCTACCAAAATCCCCTGGTCCCCAGAGCTCTGTAGATTTTTGCTCCCGGGCATGATCAGCTGCAATGTCCATGCAGATCACAGAAGTTTCCTTGGGAGCTAGAAGTGGTCTATAAGTAGCCAGACTCTGGCCCTCTATCCTTCCCACTAATCTGAAATTATTTATTTACCTTGGAACTCTGCCTGATGAAAGAAAGACGGTCTACAGAGCTGATATCCAGGAGGTCTTCCACTCCATCAGCCAGTCCAGAGAGGGAGGACCGCTTCAGCCAGTTCCCTGTTGCAGAGAAAGCCAATCAGAACAATTATGAAATTGTTCCAAGCTGCCTCTATCAACCTGTACAAACATGTTTCTTTGCAATGGAAATAATGTGATATGAGAAAAGGTTGAAAGATAAGGCTTGTTCATGTTACATGCATTAAAAGATCATGGTTTAATCCATAGCATGAAAGGCTGAATGTTAGGGTTATGATGGATGAAAACCAAGACAGGTCAGTGAGAAGAGATGAGTAATACTTAATTCTTTTCCTATTGAAGTCTGTTCAGAATGTTTTTCTGGGAGGAAGGATGGTCCAGGGATTAGGGAATTAGCCTCTAAACCTGAAAGACCTAAATTCAATTCTCTGCCCTGCCACAGACTTCCTTTGAGATCTTGGGTAAGTCATCAGATCCTATTTCACTTAATAGGCACTTGAATGCCTAAGGGTGATCCTAATCTACCCAGCTTGAGCCCTTGAAAAAAAGTTAATGCAAAAGGTGGATGGCTCCTATCCTGTTCGCTGCTTTTTGTGACTTAGTTTTAAGGCTACACTGATGACATGTTACCTTTCTTCAAAGACTTGAGCAGAATCAAACTTATGTGTTTAATATGTGGAATAGGATTGGGCGCTTAGTTTCTTTGTATGCCTCAATTTCTCCCTTGTAAAATTTTCTTGTAAAACAGGGATTCAATAGCAATGTCATACCTCACAGGTGTATCATGAAAATTAATACATTAAAAACTATGAGGCACTCAGACACTGCCTGTCTATACTATGCAAGTCCCCAGATAGATATTTTCCCTGCAAGTCTGCACATGCAATACATATATATAATATAGAGAGACATACATTTACCTATGGGGAGTTTGAGTTTCTTTCGGAGAGAGATCCGTCGGGAACGGGAGCGAGAGCGCCTTTCAGTGGTTGTCCCAGAGTGAGCTGTGGTGCATTCTGATGTATCCTGCTCTGACTGGCTACTTGTATCGCTTGCTGCACTCTGCGACTTAAACATCTTCCGCCAGAAGTCCTTGCGTCCCAGAACAGCCCCCTGCATTTGCTCATCGCTGCAAGAAATGACAACAGATAACCACAACTTTAATACACATACTTGGCAGTAACTTTTACGCTGTCAAGCACATTTGAATGATGTTTTCTTATACTAACTTCTATTACTTGGCACTTGTTATTCTAAGAATTTCAGACTTATTTGTCTCAAGATAATTTATTAAGCCAGACAACATGTTCAGTATTGCACAAGTCAAAAAATAACAATAGCTTCTGCCATGGAGAGCTTGAATTTTAGAAAGGCTGTTCAGTTTTCTCTGTCCTTCTACTGAAGAATTTCACTTTTGTGGACAAAGTGACCAGTGATAGCATGCAGGAAAAATGCCTTCAAAAGTACATTTATTAAAACGTTTTTGTATACTAAGATTCCATTTGGGACACTGTATGAAGTCATAGTTTTAACAAATTTACTGGAATACAAATAGTACACTCTGCACCAACAACTCCAAATGGCCATGACAGGACTTTGACAAGAAGTAATAAATATAATTCTTCTTCAGAAGACTAGAATTTTCTGCTCTTCTTACATCCTTATCATCAGAGGCAGGGTTCATAAGATCATAGAAAAGTAGGGCTGGATGGGATCTCCTTAGGTTATTTAGGCCAGACCCCTGTTCAAGGCAAGATAAACCCTGACAAAACCATCAAAGTCAAGTGTCTGGCTATCCTGCTCTTGAAAATTTTCAGGGATGGAGATTTCACAACTTCTCTAGGTAGCCTGTTGCAATGCTTGACCACCCTCATAATCAGAAAGTTCTTCCTAATCTGCAACCTAGATTTCCTTTGCTACAGTTTGAGGCCATTGCTCTAGTCCTGTCCCCTACAGCCACAGAAAAAAGGCTATTTCCATCTTCTTTATAACCAACCTTCAAGTACTTGATGAATGTTATTAAATCCCTTCCCCACTTTAATCTTCTCTTCTCCAGACTATATAACACTATTTCTTCCAGCCTTTTCTCATTAGTCATTTTTCCTATGACTCTAAAAATTGTTGCTGTTCTCTGAAAAACTCTTTCCAATTTGTCCCCATCTTTTCTGAAGTGTGGAGCCTAAAACTGGACACAGTACTTCAGGTGAGACCTTACTAGTGCCAAATCATGGAAGAATCACTTCTCTTGACTTCCAAGTGACACTTGTGTTAATACAACCCAATATGCTGTTAGCTATTTTTTTTTTTTTTGGCAGCAAGACCACACTGTTGGCTCATATTCAGTTTATCATTCACTGTAACCCCCAGGTCTATCTTTGCAGTACTGCAGCCCAGCCAGATTCAGATTCAGTCCATCATGAAGCCACCGTTTAAAGTAATACAACGTGACACTTTTCATCCTTAGAGTGCTTTGCAAAGATCAATATCATCATCCTCATTTTATTGATAAGGAAACTGAGGCCCAGGGTGGTGAAGTGACTGGCAAAGCTGGGGAGAGAGCATGAGGTCCCTGGGCCCAAGTCCAGTGCTCCATTCCCTAGTGCCACCCTAATACAGAAGCTGATGGTAGCAGAAGGCAGAAGAGCAGATCAAGCAGGGAGCACAAGGAAGGAAGCTGAAAACAGAGCAGGAGTGTGAGGAAGAAGCACAGAGCAGAAAGCAGAGCAGCATATTGGACAGAGGAAGAGGATTGGAGGGGCACTCAGGGAGGAGTAGAGCTAATCTGTGGCATGCCTGCCAAAAAGGTGGGTCCTCCACTGGGTCAAACTGTATGAGAAGTTTCAAGAACTATGACTGTACTCAGCAAAGATGAACTTTAAGACTGGACCAAAACTCCAATTAAGTAGACTAATATATACACCCACTCACATGTTTTGTTCAGTCATTCCTATAAAATTTTCTAATTAGAAAATTCTATTTCTTCTTAAACTAAGGCTTTCTCCCTCACAACCCATCTTTCCCCTACTTGATCCTGCAGCAAACTTGGAGCATCGCATTTATGATTACGCATCATTTCCATGGCAACATAGATAAATCACTGCAGACTTAGTAGCTGTAGAAGAAAAGAAAGGGGTGGGCAGGGTTGAAAGACTTAGAAATAGAAATCTCCCAGTTGAGATCTCTTCTCTCGTCATAGAATATGGGCAGCTTCTCCTGAAAACATCATGTCTGTTATGTCTTCAGAAAATATAAACACATGTACATACTGATAGCTTCACCAGACATTCTTACAGATTTCCACTAAAGGAGACTAAAATCTCCAAGGTAGTATCTGCCAGAAAGAAGATTTGAAAAATATGAAAGGAAATGCAGGAGGCACAAGTTAATAACCAAGGATAACTTCATTATACATATAATAATATTTTACTATTTAAAAAAATAGAACAACATAAATCATGGTCTCAAAAGGAGAATGTAAGGAATAGAAAAGGCAGGGATTTGGAGGGATTTCTTGTGAATTTTAATTATTTTTTTCTTAATAGCAGATGTTAAATACCCTGGGGCAGTAGAAGATGCTTTTTCATGCTGAGTGTGTACAGACCCTAACCTCATGGACCTCCAATCACTAAAATAGCTGGCAGTACAGCTCATTTCAGCTTAGTACACAATGCTAGGCTTCACTGATTTTCTACTGAAATCAATGTTATGTCTAATTGTACCAATCCCTTCTTGCATCATGTGATGGGGGAATTTGATAGATATAATCATGAAGGTCAGTAGCAAATACCCACTGCATTTGTTGTATCACTTAAAGAAAAGAATCCTTAAAGAATTGGCGTTCTAAGCAGTCACACTGCTAAACATTCACTTACTGCTCTGGAGTCTGCAGTGGACGGCTGGAGAGGTAACTGCGACATTCATCGGGGGCAGATGATGCCTGTGCCTGTCCCTTATCAATAACAATGCTTCCCACCTCAGATCTGTGCAGACAACACAATCGAATTAACAGGTGGCATATCTCACTTCTCGTGAACATTGTTCACTAAACATGGAATCTAGCACTTTGAAAATTGAACTGTCTTAAATGCATGCCCCTCTTTTTGTAAACTGTTGGCCTTTAATCGCTATAAAAATGCTCTGGTGCAGGGAACGGAGGCCAAGATTTTCAAAAACAGCTAATAATTTGATGTACTTTGGATTTTGGATACACAGTTTGAGACATTTTAAATGTGGCTAATTTCCAGAAAACTCTAACCTCAAATACCTTGGAATCTTGGCCAGTGGGCTTTGTGAATCTCAGAGATTGTCCAGTGGCTTTGTGTATCCAAAACTAAAAAAAGCTATGCAACAATTTTTTGATGTTGCCAGTTACTTGAAACTCAACCTCTTTTTTTCAGTTTAAAGCTCTCTTTTTGATCTATACTCACACTTCTGTCCTATATTTTAATACAACATGACTCCAACCACGAGATCAAATTTCATATTAATAACGCAATATTTCAAGACTAAATTTCTTTTGTATCATGATCCATGTCCTGGATCAGCTACCAGACAAAGCATGCCCACTAGAAAAAAGAAGCTTCCTCACTTGTATTGATGAGCTGTATTTAACTCAAGAAGTCTATGGGGTGACAAGAGGTAAGGTGCTGCTGGATCTGGTACTGGGCAAAAAGGATAATCTAGTCAGCGACCTGAGGATCAAAGGGAAGCTCGGTGATAGCGATCACGAGTTGATCACTTTCTCTATCCATCACAAAGCTGGCAAATCAGCCAGCAATACAGAAATGCTTGAATTTAGGAAAGTGGACTTTCACAAGCTCAGTAGGTTGGTTGTTGAGGCCTTGAGAGACCATGATCCGAAGGGAGGGGAGTCCATGATGAGAGGTTGCTCCTTAAGGATGTGATTCTAAAAGCACAAGAGAAGTCCATTCCGGCCTATAGGAAAGGTAGCAAAAGGGCTGGGAGACCCCCTTGGCTCAGCAGGGAACTCATAGACCTCCTGAATCTAAAAAGAGAAGCTTATAAGGGATGGAAGTCAGGAACTACAACTAAGAAGGATTATGCAGCACTGGCCCACAACTGTAGGGAGCAGACCAGAAAAGCCAAGGCTGAAACTGAACTCAAACTGGTTACGGGAATCAAGGACAATAACAGTCCTTCTTCAAATATGTGGGAAGTCTGAAAAAAACCAAGGGCAACATCGAACCTTGCTGAACCAAATGGGGCAGCTGACAACTGACACCTAGAAAAAAGCTAATCCCCTCAATGATTACTTTGCATCAGTTTTCCACCAGCCCAAGGGAATCACCCTGCCTGACAGGATGCTGCACTACCAGGGTAAGGGTGATCATACTCCTAAAATTTGCGAAGATCTTGTGAGAGAACACCTTGAGAGGCTGGACATCCACAAGTCAGATGGCCCGGATGGAATGTACCCAAGAGTGCTAAAACAGTTGGCTGACATCATAGCACAACCAATGGTGAGGATATTTAAAATTCGTGGCACTTGGGAGAGGTTCCTGAAGATTGGAAGAGGGCCAGTGTGCTGCCTATCTTCAAGAAAGGAAGGAAGGAAGATCCAGGGAACTACAGGCCCATCAGTTTGACTTCAATTCCTAGAAAGATCTTGGAAAAATCATCAAAGAAACCATCAACAACAGGCTAACAGAAGGCAACATTCTGAGAGATAGCCAACATGGCTTCATTGTGGGTAGGTCTTGCCTGACCAACTTCATATCCTTCTATGACCAGGTGATGAATCACGCGGACAAAGTAGAATAGGTTGATGTCATATATTTAGATTTCAAAAAAGTCTTTGACTAGGTCTCCCAAGATGTCCTCATGGTAAAATTGGGGAACTGCAGCCTCGACAACCTTACAGTCCGAGGGCTGGGGAACTGGCTCTGTGGTCAGACCCAGAGAGTGACAGTCAACGGAACAGAGTCAATATGGTGCATGATGACCAGTGGCATCTCCCAGGGCTCAGTACTTGGACCAATACTCTTTAATATATTCATAAATGATCTGGATTCAGGTGTCAGAAGCAGACTGGCTAAGTTCGCAGATGACACCAAATTATGGGAAATGCAATCATGCTAGAAGATAGGCTGGCAATTCAGGCTGACCTAGACAGGCTTGCAAGGTGAGCAGATCAAAACCTGATGACATTCAACATGGAGAAATGCAAGGTGCTTCACCTCGGGAGAAAAAACCCACATCATACTTATAGGCTCGGCAGCGCTACACTCACTAGCACCATGACCAAAAGAGACTTGTGGGGTCATTACTGACTACAAGATGAACATGAACCACCAATTTGATGCCATAGCTGACAAAGCAAATAAAACTCTGGCTTGCATCTACTGATGCGTCTCAGGCAAGATCCAAGACGTCATCCTCCCACTTTCCTTGGCCTTGGTGAGACCACAGCTGGAGTACTGCATCCAATTCTGGGCTCCACACTTTAGAAAGGATGTAGAGAAGCCTGAGAGAGTCCAGAGAAGAGCCACACGCAAGATTAGAAATCAAGAGAGCAGGCCTTATGAGGAAAGGCTGAGAGGCATGGGACTCTTCAGCCTGGAGAAGTGAAGGCTCAGGAGTGACTTGGTGGCAGCCTATAAGTATATAAGGGGTGTGCATAAGGAACTGGGAGAATGTCTGTTCACCAGGGCACCCCAAGAGAAGACAAGGTCTAATGGTCACAAACTGCTGGAAGATCATTTTAGAATGGACATAAGGAAAAACTTCTTTACTGTCCGAGTCTCCAGAGTCTGGAATAGACTCCCCCCAGTAGTGGTCCAAGCACCTACTCTGGATGCCTTTAAGAAATGCTTGGATGCTTATCTTGCTGGGGTGATCTGACCCCAGCTGACTTCCTGCCTCTTGGGTGGTGGGCTGGACCCAATAACCTCGTGAGGTCCCTTCCATCCCTAATGTCTACGAAATCTATTTCCCCAGAGAAGCAATGCACAAGACTGAGTCATCCTCACATGAAACTGTTGGATTTAAAATCACCCCTTCAAACAAAACCTCCTTCTCACTCACTCACTCACTCACTCACTCCTTTTCCTGTTTCTCTACCTTTCCGTCTCCCAAAGAATCCCTTGCTTTGCTATCTAATCCCTGTTTTACCAGTTATTTCTGTGAGGTTTGAACTTTTTCACTGCTGCTTCCAAAGCTGTCTCAGGCCCTTGTTACATGTTGCACTGTGAACCACACAAATGTCGATTGGTTTGGTGCTAGCTTGCAGTCACACCTTCAACCTAAGCGGCACATCTGTGGGGAGTAGCCAAACCTTAATGGAACATTAGCTGGGTTATGTGGATCACGAGATAATCCTGCCTTGGAGTGGGATAACTTTGATCTTCACAATGAGTTTTTAAAACCACTTGAAGGTGTTAACGTGCCAACAATCCAGGGGTTATGAGCTCCAGGAGCTGTCCAAAATTAATATACAACAAAGCCCTCACTTTATTAAATATTAAGGGAGACTGATGCCACCTCCACACTTGAGCTTTGTACATGAAGAGATGACATGCTAACAAGAGGAATAAAACAAGCAATCCTATGAACTTTCCTACATTTGTGTTGAAGGCAATAAGTTACACAGCATTATATACATAATTCATAGCCTTATTACACTCCCAGACACAAACCTTTTGCTCCCTGAAGGTTTTGGTTCCTGCTCTGTTTCCTCTGTTTTCTTCCCTGGTATTAATTTTTCAGCACTATCCAAAAGGGCACTGAGTGCCACCCTTCTAAAGACATTTCCATGAGCCTCCTTGATAAATTGGACCAACTGTCGGATGTCACAGTACAATCCCTGAATAACAAAAAATATCATGAGGCAGAGGGGGAAAAGGAGAGAGAAAGAGAGAGGGAGAGAATTCTATAATGGGTTTGCTTTTAAGCAGAGACGGGGGAAGAGACTTTATTTTTAGATGTAGTTAGTAGCTTTTAAATTATTATTGTTATTCAGATGAAGCACACGGTTGTCATATAACCATTTCAATAAGGAAAGGTGCTGTCCTGTTGGGCTATTCCCCACCAGAAGCACATTGTTGTTATGAAACCTATGCTGTGTTGGACTAAGGGAGCTTTAAGTTATGTCAGGGCTGGGACATCTGCTGGAAGAGGAAGCTGCAACAATTGCTCAAAGCCTCTTTTACCTCATTCATCTAAGCCCACAATGTTAAGAGGTAGGAAAAATCCAAAAGAAAAAGCTCCAAATTGCATGTTGTGCTTCAGAACCTGTCAGTATCTCAGGATTTTTCTTAATTATTTTAGAGTATTACTTCATGAAAATGGAAAGGAATGATTCACACATTCACCAATCTAACTCCTACACTTAAGATATTTTTTAGTTCAGTGCATTCACATATATATTTGTGGCAACTAAGAGGAGTTGGTATGTCAAGGTCCCCTCTGATTCAGGGAAGGTGGCTTTCCAAACAGCCCAACTTCTGTTCAAGGATATCTCTTGAAACCTCATGATCTATTCTGAAAATTTCAGGCTTGGATTTATAGAGCCAGTATTCTACAAACCCCCCCTCAAACAAACATACTTTTACAGACTACCCAGTGTACTGTCTTATGCCCTACTCAACAAGGTACTTAGGCACACACTTAATTTTAAGCATGTGAGTACCACCCACAATAGACAAACTCCAAACATAGCCCTGTCACTTCAGTCCATTATTTCTTTACAAGCAGAGGTTGTGGTCGTACACTTTACAGACTTGGAGTCCAAATGCACCAACCCTATCAACCTCAGAAAAGCATAAATCTTGTGAAGGAAAAGCATGCCTCTTGGCTCTAGTCTAGTCTGATCCAACGGATGACTGCCCATGCCCTAAAACTATCAGCCAGTTCAGTATGACAGGCAGGCTTTGCTATGAAGAATTCAAGAGAGAAATGTAGAGAGGTATGGTATGTCAAGATTGGGCATTCCTAGCAGGGATGTTGTTAGAAAACTTATGAGGCACCAGCCAGCCATGGGCTACAGCCTCAGCTGATTCCAACTGACTTTATCTCTACCTGAGTCAATGGACCTGTTCTGGTTTAGCTCATGTGGGAACCTAACCCATTACTCTTAGCTCCAGCTTAGTGCTACTAGTTCTTCTTTCCACTAATGTCAAGGTCACAAAGAAACCAACAAAAGCACTATCTGAAGACAAAGGGGATCAAACCCCAAAGGTATTAGCTTGTCACACCAACGAGGTCTTGTTTAACTGAATTTGGGCTTAATTTTAAAGCTTAGCTGCCACTTGAGACAAAATTAAAATATAAGCTTTTAGAACATGAACCAAAGTTCTCACCAGATTTTCAGGGCTATGAAGTTCATGTGTAGTAGAGGCACAGCGAGTGATCAGGGACTTGAACATAGCACTGACTATAATTCCTTCCACACTTTGTGCAGTAGATTTGTTGTCCACTGTGGTGAAGTTATTGCCAAATCCAGCCTTGTCTGCAAAATGCAAGCATGAATAAACCCAATTGTTGAGATGGGTTAAACATTATGCATCAAAATATAATGATGTATTTAAATGCATTAAGAGATGTAAATCCATGGTAACACCTCACTCGGAACACTCTGTTCAATTCACAATGAATATGATAAAAATGGAGGTCAGAGATAGGTGACAAGAATAATAAGAGGAATTGAAAAAAATCTACGTGAAAATAAATTGAAAAGATCAGGAGGATACTTCCTCTCCCTTTTTCTCCTCTAATTTAGTGGTATATCAAATAATGAAGAGGAGAAAATGGTAAATCAGGCATTCCTATATGCCCTCTCACATGAACAATGGGATATTTAGTTAAACTGAAAAGCAAGAAATTTAGCACTTATAAAAGGATTTTTTTAAATCAGTGGAACTTTATTCACACAAGATAGTATGGAGGCCAAGATCACAGAAACATTAAAAAAAAGGATCTTTTAAATGAGAACATCCACAGTTTTCATTAGACAGAGTGAAAACAGTCAAAAGGGACATCATATGCCCTCTTGCTCTGAGGTACAGACCAATTTGTAACTGCTGGGTGTTTGAAAGATTCATCATGCATGCCTCTGATTTCACAGCTATCCGCTGTGGTGTTTCTTGAACCTTTTTTTGAAGCGCTTTGGACTACAGGCAGCACACAGGACTGGACTAACTACCTGGATGTATGGCAGGTTGTATTCTAAACGCCTATAATTATCTGCTTGTGCATGCAGGGGGGAAATGTATGCATGCAATCATCAATTGTCATTGAATTAATTGTCTATCTTCAAAAATAAATCCAACTCACGTTGTAGGCACATAAACCAGAAGGCTCACCACCTTCTTGTTTACGAGGTCTGTTCTAGCTATTTACTGCCTCCCTTTAGGCTATACTCAGAGTATTACATGCTCAATTATATCTCCATTCAGAACAAATGCTGGAATGCACAGTCCACTCCAGCTGGCATCTAGTCATGTCATTAAGCAGAAAACAACTTCTTGCCTGAGGCATGTTAGAGAGGAAATTTCCCTTTGCCAAGCTATAAACAAACAGGTAGGATGCATCAAAAAGAGGGCACATGTGTTTCTTTAAATGTCATTGTATTGGAAATAGACTAGGTTATTAAGACCCACAGCTGGGTATATGGGGTGTATGTAGTTTGGTGTAGTTCCACTGAATTCAATAGAGTTCCAGTGACCCACACACCAGGTGAAAAATGGATTTTATCATTCCATTTTACTTTTTGGCTTCAGCCATTCACTCTGACTTTTTGAAAATTGTAATGCATATCCTCTCTGCAGGTGTTGTTGTCTTAGAAAAGTGACTGGGCTTGAGATGCTAGCTCTCCTTACTGTCAGTGACTGGCTCCATGCAGAATCCTAGCAAAGCATGAAGAAAATCCACCACGTTATTGAGGGAATCTCTGTTCACATAGTCCCTCATCGTCTGCCGGAACTGCATCTTATCCAGCTTGTACAGCTTTGTGAGGCAATTCTGAGCCTGTGAAGACATTAAAAAAAATCAGAAATATCCACTTGAATTTTGTCAACAGTGGCAGGGTCATTTGGGTGCTTTTCTGCTCTTGCTTTCTCTGTGCTACAGTATAAAGTAACTTCAACTGTAAGTCAAATATTCAAATCTCACAACAGGACATGGGCTCAGATTAAAAGATGACCAACCACTTCAATAGAAGGTGCCACTGCATTGCTTTTGGGTGAGATGGCAGGTCAAGGTCACGTTTAGCCACCCATTGAGACCCTCCATGTAGAAGACAAAGTCTCACTGCACATTACAGTTGACATCTGTTGTCCTTGACTGAAAATTATTTTTTGATAAAACAGGCTCTGGCCCAAAGATGTCAGATTTTCAGCCTGTGGTCCAGATTAAACCCATTAGATATGTCTGTTCCTAGTGCCCAATTCATATTCTGAAAATGCAGGCCTTTAGTTAAAAAAAATAAGAACTGACTCTGCGTTGCAAATGTAACCATACAAACATGACCCAAATGCAGTGAGTTTTTTAAAAGTCTGAAATATCAGCTCCAAGAGAAGTATGGACTCTTTCCTGGTGCTCTCCATGGGGGTATGGTTTCTGAAGCTCAAGGGGAGTGCACTAAGGGACAGATATTAAAATTATTTAGACATACAGTTGTACATGCAGTTATCACAAGCAGCAAAACAACCTGTTCAAATAAACAAACAGCAGAACCAGCAGTGTGTTAGATCTCGCTAGTTGCCCCAGGCCAGCAAGGTGCCTAGATGCAAGCTTGTGTTTAAGCATATGACTAGCCCATCAGTTTCAGAGAGACTACTCATATACTCAACATCAAGCTTTGCACCTAGGTGTTTCACTGGATTGGGACCAAAATAATGCAAAATGTAATTTGGTAAGTAAAAGTTTACTTATTCCATGTGGGCCATTTTCAACCCATGCTCTTGGTGAAAATTTTCCAGCATTACCAAAGGATGCCCTGCTATCCTGTGACAGCTGTAAAAGTAGGATTCAACAACCCATGACCCTCGAGGCTGGACCCAGCCAACAAAGAGGTTGGATCCAGCCTGCGAAGGTCCAACCCAACTTGGGGCAGTGCAGGGGATTGGAAAAAATACAGCTATGTTGAGCCTTCCATCCCCTCTGCAGCCCTCCCTGATCCTCTCTCGTGCCTCAGCTTAACCTTAAGGGTTCCTGAGGAGAGAATAATCAGAGGCAGATTGGGTGCTCCAGAGGCTGGAGATTTGTACCCCATGGCAGGGGACCAAGTCACAAGCTCCAGCCCATGGCAGCAAAAGGTTGCCAACCCCTGGTATAAATGATTCAAATTGTAACCCAACTCCACCTAGTTTCACAACTGCAAACAGATTTGGGTCGTCTCCATGGAACATGAGAAGCTGTCCCTAGAACCTGATCCAGCATTCTCTGAAGAAAGGGAAAGGACTTCACTTGACTTTGGTGGGATCCCTAAAGTCTATGATTATATGATAAAGTATTCCTGACTGCATAGTGCTGATATGGCCACTACCCACATTTCACACATTGCTTTAGGAAGCATTTGGGGATGCTTGATTCAAAAGATAATATATAAAACTGAATTCTATTCTATTCTCTTCAACAGTACACAGGGCTGCATTAATATGAACATCACTTGCAAATCAAGGGAATTGATTCTCCAACTCTATTCAGCACTGGCGATGCCTCATCTGGAGTACTATGTCCATGGGCATATCTAGGATTTTGAAAAGAGGGGTGCAGGTGGTATGACACATCACATATGACACAACACATATTTTTCTCCAGTTAAATGGAAACTAGATCCTTTACTAATATGCTAACGGAGTAGCACTATACAAATGTAACTATTGGAATGTGCACAAATTTGTTAATTATATATAAAGTTTAAAAAGAACACAACAAACTAGGCAAAAAATAGTCAAAATTGTCAGAAGATATTGTTTCATTAGTCCTATAGTCATAATTATATGCAATCAGATTCGTACAACAAAATCTAGCCTTCTTGAGCATCTTGACAGTGCCTCCAATATCACACCATCATTCATTTCTATACCTGACTTAATATTACCAGATTTGAGTTAAATGTTTTTAACTAGTGTTAAAAACAGTGCACAGGACTGTGAAATAGAACAGAGACATTACTGGGAATGGTTAACAGACAGCAAAACTGAAAAAGAAAGAATAGTTTGAATAGCAGAACCTCAAGACCATAACAAAGAATAGACAATCATTAACACCTGTGGACTAGAGAGAGATTAACAGGAATCAGGGAGATGACAATGAGCTATGAAGTCAATTGACTCTCTCAGCACTGCCAGGGTGTTGGTTTTAAAGTTTGGGTGGAGCATGAATCAAAGGTGGAGTGGGGCATTGAAACTGCATCACTGCATCTCCTCCTGGACCTGCCCCCAAGTGTGTCCACTTTTGGGCTCCACATTTCAAGAAATATTGACAAATTAGAAAGAGTCCGGTGGAGAGTGACATAAATTATTAAAGACCTGGGAAACATAATTTATGAGGAAAGTTTGAAAGAACTTAGATTATTTAGTCTGGAGAAGAGAAGACAAAAGGGGTGACGGTGGGATTTGACAACAGTCTTCAAACTACCTGAAGGATGATTACATGGAGGATGGTGACAGACTATTTCCTGTGGCCACAAGTATCAGGACAAGGAGCAAGGTTTATAAATTCCAGAAAGAGAAATTTGGGCTCAATATTAGGAAGGATTTCTCACTATAAGAGCATATCTACACATGTATTTAAGCACAACTAAATTTAATGTGCATTAAGCTGATGATCATGAAGCAATTTTTAACAGACTGTCTACACATGAAGAGACTTGGCACTAAAGTTAGTGCCAAGTCCCTGCAGCCCTGCCATATGCCCCTAGTGGCTGGGCAGACCTGGCACTAAAGTTAGTGTCCAGTTGCATCTACACGTGCTTTAACTAATCATGTCTAAATTTGATACCTGCTAATTTTGCCATTTTTAATGCCCATAATGTATATTAAATTAGGCCAATGTGCATTAATGCATCTCGTGTAGACATGCCCTAAGAATAAGAAACTATTGGAACAGGCTACACACAGAGTAGCCTGACCCTGAAATATCTGTCTTTCAACACTTTTAAAGATGCTTTAGTCAGGAATTATCCTATCTTGAGTGGGAGGGTTGGGTGGACTAGATGACCTTATGAGGTCCCTTCCAGCCTTATTATTCTATGAATTTAAGTTTCTACCCTTACACTGGTATTTTATGTAGCTAGAAAATAATGGTGCTAATCACAGTGGGCATTTATACACATGCTCTGGAAGTGAGGGGAGGGGATGCAGGACACAGAGTGCCCAGAGCATCAGGTGTATCAGTGTCCTCACACTGAAAAATGGTGGTGGGGGTACTTTAACTAAAGATGAGCTTTAGTTAAAGTGCCCCCGCTGCCATTTCTCAGCACGGGGATGCTGATACACATGATGCTGGAGCCTGCTGGAGCATGGTAATTACCACACTCCAGCAGACGCAATTAATCGTTTAATCAAGTCTGCTCCGATGTGCTGTAATTAGAGTGCATCAGACCAGCCTCACTGTGTGTGTATAGATGCCAGAGCTTGTAAATCAGAATTTAGAAAGGAAAAAACCAATGTACAGACATTTGGAATTGTCTGAGAACTATTCTGTATTTTCAGTGTAAAACAAAATGAATTCTAATTTTGGTCTCCCTGATAACAACTAACAAGGATCCCCTAATTCAGAGTAACCACTTTGCATTCCTCTGTCACAGCAATCTGAATATAAAGCTTTAGTTCCCAGTCCAGAGATGAAAACTCTACTGCAAGTGGCTTAGGTCTGATTTAGGGACACTGTGTCTATTCTTCCTCCCTGTTTTCAATAGAACTTGGATCAGGAGACATCCCTATGCCATGCTGTTCTTTCCCTTCTTTTTTGGTCTCTTGTGGTCTTTACAGCCCAGCAAAAAAGTAAAGTTACTTTCTAGCTACTGAAAACCAGAGCAGAGAAATGGGTTTATACAGAGCAGCTTCCAAAGGAGTTCAGAGGAGACTTAGGCAGCCGTTGCTTACAATACTGACGTGCTCTGTGTTGTTTGGTTGTAGTAGAGGAAGGATGATCCTGGAAAAGAATATACTGGGCACCTTGCAGGACCTGGGAGACCTGAGCTCTGTCTCCGATTCAGCCACAGACTTCCTTTGCAATGCAAAATCATTTAATCTCTTTGCACATTTGTAAAACCAGGATAATTCTTTACCTCCCAGCTATGAGGACTGTGAAGTTACATCTAATATGGTAATGATGAAAGCCATAGAAATACTCAAATGGGGAAAATTGACAAAATCCTAGATAAAATCAGTAATCGATTCTTGGGGGAGTCTTATCTTTTAAAATTCTAATCCTTATTCTGAGATTTTATAGTCTGAGTCACAATCTCTTAGAACTGGTAAAAATGTTCAACAAATGGCAAGAAAAATTCATTACAGCTAAAAGCCCACGAACAAGCTGCCAGGCAAACCAAAGCAAAGAAGAATGCATTTACATTTTACAATACAACCACACACTTGTAGAAATTAACTGATCCTTATCATAACTCTATATCACTCTCAGATATAGCATATGTTACAGAATGCTTTGAATTCAAGGCTCGGTATCAAAACGCAACACACAACATGCACTTTTTCTGTCATTCTTCAAAAAAAAAAGACCAGTTAGGAGGAGGGGAGAGCCCCCTGTGTTGGCTTCATTTACTTCCAGGACCCACTCTCACCTCCATTTTTATGGGCACAGTATGCATCGATAATTCTAGTCAAAGGGAATGCTCACTGCAGCAAAACCTGGTAGTAAATATATTATCAGCTCGCTACTAGTTAAATGTTTGCAGGGCTGGAAGACTCCATTATAGAGCTCCTGTCTGGCAGAGCACTGGGGCTGTGTTCCCACTGAAATCCCCCAGGGATCCATTTTAATTCTCTGGGATGTGGTCAGAGCAATAGCCAGGATCTTAGGGATAGAAAAGATCAAAGACACCCATAAAAACACACACACAGCTCTGAGCTGTATTTTCCACTTGTCATTCTTGAATGGTAACCAAGAGCCACAGCCTAGGTATATCTTTGCCTCACTAGGAGCCAGACCAATGGAAGAGGAGTCTTCTGCTACCCTGGAGCACTGGAGCACAGTGCACACTGGCTACTGGGACCTCGTGGAGCAGCCCAGAAATATCAGTTCAAGGCCACCGTATAGAATTACATGCCTTGTCTATATTTAGGGTTTTTGTGCCAATGTAGCCAATCCAATATAGCTGCATTGTTTTAACCCCTTCATGTAGTCATGATACACCAGTGTAAAAAGTGACATTTATGTTTGTGTTGTATATCCATGTTACAGTTTTGCTCATAAAAAATGCCTGTTGCAGGTAAGCCCTGTTGGGGCTGCTCTAAATTGTGCTGGATCCAAGGGTAGGAAACTGGAAGGTACAAAGGTGGCTTAAAGCTGCCTTTGCCTCCCTTGATTGGGCTGCACCTCGAAGTCAGTGCTCCCAGTTTTGGGGGGCAGTATTCTTTTGTCATTAGAAAGGAAACCATGTGGAGGGGAGAGTGGAACCTCTCAACATCAGGAGACTCATTTAAAATCTGGGGGGCTGGGAGAGTTGGAATCTACTTTAGTTCTCTTACATTCTCCCGGAATACCTGGTGTCTCAGGCGATCTCCAGAGAGCCCTCGGTGTCCTTCTCCACAGCCATAAGCACAGCCCAAGGATTTCACTATTTTGATCAGCATAGTTAGTGCCAGCCGATGGGTGCTTATTGGAGTGGTTTCATCCTAGAATCACAGAACAGAAACAATATCACATGAAACTGCAGTCAGAGTAACTGATAAATTGTTAGCATTTACTTGTAACAAACTATTGGGAATTTTTGCTCTCAGACAGTCCATAATTCATAGGGATAAGTTAAATAACTCTTGAAAATCTTATTGTAAAGTATCTATTTGCATTTGGGACCTAATTATGCAAAACCTTGCTAGCCCGTGTAATTCTTACCACTTTGAGTAGTCCCCATTGATATCAAGTGGATTACTCCAACTAGTCAACTATCTCTGATATAAGAACCAATTTGTGCAACCTATATTTGAGGGCAAGCAGTACTTTACTCCAAAAACAGTCTCACTGAAGTCCATGGGAATACATTTGAGGTACTACTGAGCATGAGTAAGTGGAGTAGCATATAACCCTAAGGAACTAAGGCTGCCAATACATGTGCTTGAGCGGTAGGGAGGGGGGTGTTTTAATTAGAGTGGTTCCTGGAGAGCTGCTGTAATTAAAATACCTCACCGTCATACACATTAAGCCCCCACAGGTTTAAAAATGGCCACAGGATGCTTTATCTAAATCTCACTTGATGTAAAGCACCCCAGCAGTCATTTTTAAACCAGTGGGGGCTTATACATGTGATGGGGAGGCCACACTGGAGTGTTCTAATTAGAACATGAACCAGCATATGTATATGCAGCCTAAAGGACCAGAATCCTCTCTCTCTACTGAAGAAATAAAACAAGGGTTGTATCTGGTCTAGCAGATAATGCCCTGGACTAGGAGTCAGTAGGTTTGTGTTCCATTTCCAGCCTAGCCCTGCCACTGGTCTAATGTGACACCTTGGCATTATAGTTCTATTTTCTCTCCCTGCATCCATCTGTTTTATCTATTTAGACTATAAACTCCTCAGGGCATGGGACAGGTCTTACTATTTATTTTATACGGCCTGAGATATGGGAGACTCTGAGTACTACTGATGGCTAGAAAATGATATTTAGAGGTTTGTTTTTAGGAATTGGCTTGTAGGTAAAGTAGATATGCATTAGAACAAGGGTGGGAAAAATCTGGCCTGTGGGCCAAATCCAGCCCACTAGGTCGCTCTATCCAGCCTGTGTGGACCCTAAAAAATTTAGAAAATGTATTATTATCTGCCTGGTGCCAGCAGGAGCAGGACCCAGTGGTAGGACCCAGGGGTGGCAGCAGCAAGGCCCACCCAACCCCCAGGCTCCCCACCCCCACCAGGAAGCTTCTGGCTGTTCCCCCACTCTCCTTCCATCCAAGAGTGCAAACTCTGGTAAGAACGAGCAAAGGAGGGGGGTGAGGGGGAGAAGGATTGCTGTCAGAGCAGGAGCCAGCTTAGCCTCACTGGCACCGCACAGCACAGCAGGAGCCAGCTGGGAACTGCGGGGCCTGGGTTGGCTCATGCTATGTTCTGCGGTCTCATCCGGGAACTGCGTGCTGCTGGAGTGGTGGGCAGGCAGGGGGGAGTGGTGGCGGCAAGTGGGAAAAATGGGAATTGGTTGGGGAAAGACATGCCCTCCTCCACATGCTCCCCCACCCCACATACACACTTACCCTTCCCCACATACATACATACACAAACACACCCACAGCCCCCACAAACCTATACGCAACCACCCATACCACCACACCCCTCCGCAACCCGCTACAATATACAAAAGTAAGACTTCAATTTAAACCATTAAACAATCTTCTCTATGTACACTATGCAAACACACGTAAATCATGACAAAAATATTTTTAAAAATCAAATTAATGAACATTGTATTTATATGTTTGATTTTAAGAATGTAATTTGGTTTTTTTCCTGGTTCCAGGATGGCAAATCTCCTTGCCAAAAGGAGTACTTCCGGGGGCAAGGCGAGGGACTTCCGGTGACAAAGGTTAGGGGTTAGGGGGCAGGACCTTCTGGTCCCGAGATGGTGACCAGGGGTGGGGCAACTGTCAAGCGGAGGGGCTACCCATGCAGCCCTTGGCAGCTCATCAAAACTTGTTAAGCAGCCCTCTAGCTGAAATAATTACCTGCCCCTGCATTAGAACAATCATCCAGGGGAATGGCAAGGGTTTCTTAAAGCCTGTTTGTGGCAAAGTTTCCTTCAAGGTCCACTGTGTCTGAAGCCAGCAGGCACACAGGCTGGGAACTGAAGACATGTACCACACTGCTCTGTAACATGAGATAAGGTGGCATTAGGTCACAGTGACCAGCGGCAAAGCCCCTGGGATTTCTGGTTTTGGTGGATGGACCAAATTAAGACACCGGTAAATAACCAAATTAAGATGTGTGCACGTGATGGGTTTGTTGGCACAAAGGAATATGCTGACAGGACAGAACATGGACACTATGATGACCACAGTGTGACCAATCAATGATGGCCGGGAATGAAGAGTCATCAAAGGAGGAAAAGGATTTCAGAACAGCAAAGGGTCCTCTAAGAAGTGAACCCGTGGCCACCATGGACAGAGGGTAAACCACCAGCCCATCTCACCCACCCCACCTGGGGGTAGTGAGTCTCGACCCTCAACCTCCAGTCTGCTGACATTCAAGAGAGAACTGCAGGGTGAAGCTTGCGTACTGGCCAGATGCACCTTCCCCCTGTGGCAGCCTTAGGACTGGTAGATATAGAATTGGGGGTGTTATTTTGTTTGGCTTGCCTGCATTATTCTTATTTGCTATCATTGTGTATCAATAAAATTTGCCTATTATTCAACGGAGAAATCATGGTCGGTCTGAGGGTTTGGGTCTGCCCAGAACAAGGTATTTGGGTTGTAAATCCAGGGCCAACGCTATTGTAAGACAAAAAGCAAATGAACCCAGCATTCCTTTTCTTCTTCCTGGTTTATTAACTTCTACCTAAAATCAAAACTTTAAAAAATATACTGAGCTGTAAAAGGAGGCTTATTTTTCAAAATATTATGCTTGAATTAGGTCTGAGTGCCCTTAAATACTGACAATAAAAACAATGTTTTGATTTATCCCAGAGAATACTGAAATGTATTTTTACTTTAAACTGAATACAAGCCCAACCAATTAATTAGTTAAATATCCAGTATTTCAGTCAAAGCAAAAAGCAGCTTTTTAAAGGCAATGATAAAGTAAAATGGGGCTGCTGAGAATACAGGCTTTAAGTTTGTCCATTTTTTCTTATTCATTTTAGGTTGCATTTTAAGCAATCCAAATGTAATCTTTTGCTATTAAAGGTGTTTTTTATCTGTCAAGAGGTATATAACTATACCATAATTATCTGCCTGCCCAGATTATCTGTCTGTCCAGATTACTGAGTAAATCCTAAAATGTGTCCACACTGCAGCTTGCATGTACATATCCATGGTAGTTTTGGATTGGTTATCCCAGGTTACTGATAACAGCATACCTGTGGCAGCATGGAGCTTACTGTGGATCACAAAACATGCTTAAAAACCTGGGTAAATACTCTGGGGTTAGCCCATATTGTGCTCTGTGCTGCCATAGTTACATTGCTATCAGTAACAAAGCTAACTCAGTCTGAAGCTAATTCAGGTATGCTGCAAAACTGTACCCATGGCAGTGCCTGTATCCCTACAGTGATTAATCCACAACAGTTTACATTATATAAATACCCTACAGTCTAATACCCTGTACCCTGTAGTCAGTTCTTACCCAGGGCTATGCACCAATAATGTGCTTACCTGGTATTTACTAAGGAATTCAATGAACAATTATTGCTATAGCACTTAAAAGTATTTGCATTAAGTATGCTTCTGCACTCACTGAAGTTAAGGGAAAAATTTCTAGGTAAACCCCAAATGTCTGTACTGGGGTTTACATTCATACAAAACAGAAAAGTAAAACAGATATAAAATATACCTTTATATTCATATAACTGACTGCATCTACACGTTGAATTAACATGGAGCAATAAACTCTAGTGCAGTTCACGCCAGTCAGCTGCTTCCAGACACAGCATATACGTGTCCACTCACACTTTGAGCCAGGGCAGAAAAGCTCCAGGCTGGCAGCAGGCTCGAGGGGGGTCAGGCCCAAGCTCTGGTATCGGGTGGCGGAAGGGCTGGCTGGGGACAAGGGAGGTAAAGTGCAATGCTGTGCAGCAAGCAGCCCCTACACATTAGCACCCTCATGCCCTAGCCAGCCACTGTCACCGTCTAGATGTGCATTTCGGCACACATAATTACTCCGCTGTAGACAGTACTGTCTTATAGCAGAGTAAATTAATTTACTGTGCTTTAATACTGGCACACGTGTAGATTGTGGTGCTTTACTGCAGAGCTAAATAGTCAACTCTGCAGTAAAGTGTACATGTAGATGCACCCACTGTGTCCATATGTGGGGGGGGTGTTGTACCACTTTAAACCAGTACCACTTTTGAATGTAGACAAAGCTGGAGGCTCAGCCAAAAGTAAATCATAAATATTTGGAGTTTTAAACAAATCTGTTTATGGAATGCCCAAAGTGATCTCAACAAAAATATTAATGGCCTTGAGTAAACTGGTAACCAACCTGCAAGAGATATACTCAACTCCATTTAAGTGCAAAGCTTTGGGATTAAAAAAAAAACCCTCTGCACTTACCAAAACTTAATGTAAGCAGCAGTGTCAGTAATGTGGTATTAGCAACCCTTAAGCTCATTTTCAAGGCTTCCAATACCAGCACTTTGAAGCTGTTTCCCCACTACTGGTGCCCGTCAGTATGCAGTTAAATGGAGTTTAATTATATCACAAAGTAGTAGGCTGAAGGGTGCTATACACTTAAGCAGTGTATGTACTTATCTGATAAGATTATTAGGATTTGCTACAATTTAATTATGTTAAATATTGACAGTGATGTCAATTATGCATAAATACTATATGTATTGTATGCATATATGGTATGTATGTTAGTAGAGTGTAAAAGCCTATGTTGTAGAAGCACCTCCACAGTTTTGAATGGTGGGCAGCAGTCTAAAACTAGAAAAGCTGTAACAGCAAGATGTTGTAGTGTGATCTCATAGTAACACTCTTTAGAATATTCTACAGTGCGTTTATTAGAGCAGGTTAATTATAGATACATTATAAACAAGTGCTTAAATAAATGAGCAAAGCACATGTTATGTTCCATGATTTTAAATTTCTTTCTTCACCTACTCACCAGCTTGCTAAATTCAGGGAAACCTCCCCACCAGCCATATGAAATGGTGAGGTTCTCCCATGTCAAATTAATGCTAATTAGTAAGGTTCTATACCACATAGCCATGTTGTTTGGCTGTAGAACAAGTTGGAGATGAAAAATCTGACTCATTTCAGAAAGCACAAAGCATTGATATTAAATATGAATCCAGATTTTCAATTGAAAACTAGTCCTGCAGCTGTCTCGGATTCCCTGCATGTACTTGCTACAGACTGATCCAGTGAAAGATACAATGAAAGCAATATCTGGCTCAGAGAGTTTGCAACTTTACAAGTGTAGTAGATAGGAATATAACTGGACAAATACATTTCTACAACTAAATTGACATCAGAGCATTTGGCTTTTTGCCAGGCATGCTTAGGTAGGAAAACAATATTTTCCAAAATGGCTGAAATATTATACAATAGGGAGAAACAATTTTAGGAATTAGCAAAACTACTAACTCCATGCCAGATACTGAAGGGCCAAAATTCAAAATTACTGGTTATCAAGAAAAATGAACTGAGCTACAGATCTAGATTTTTATACTTTCTTTAGCTTTACAGGATAAAAAGCACCTATCTAGAATAAGGAACATAGTTTTTATATACAGGTGTACTACAGTTGTTTCTCTGTAGTAGTCACAGCCACAGCAGCTAAATTTTCTGTTGTGATGCACTCATTACAGTGATGAGTGCAATCACAGTGATTTTGCTGTGCATACTGCAGCAAAACAAATTAATTTAAGATGTCTTTGTGGTGCCAATAAAAGAAAGTCTGGCAGTTTCCCTCCCTATCAGGAAGGGAAATTATAATTGCACAACACAAATACACAAATGTCTCCATGGGCATAGGCCTCATGCCTCACATACTATTTGGAAATATCATATATGGTGGCCATGAAATACCTTCTCTTGTTTTTTGTCATTCTTTTCATAAGGACCTCCGCCACTGCCGCTGCTGCCACCTCCTCCACCTCCATCGCCTCCACCACCTCCCCCTCCACCACCTCCACCTTCTTCTCCTCCTCCATCTCCAGCTCCACTGACTGAGGGAGCCACAAATCCACAGGCAGAGCCACCTGATGTGGCCCCCTTGATCTGGAAGGATCCTTCACTTGGTCTCTTTTCAGGGGCCTCATTTTCCTTGTTCTCACTCTTCCTTCTGACTTTCTCCACACAGGGCACCACACCAAGCTGAAGCAGGCATTCAACAATGTTCAGTGCCACGTCACAAATGCGGGAGGTAATGTCATGGTTCAGAACTAAGTAAACAGCCTTCAGAACTACCTAGAAAGGTGAAAACAATGCATTTTGGTCAGATTTATTTTCTCTCCTCTTATTATTACTAATTATTATGAATATTATTATAGCACCTAGGAGCTGGACCCATGGACCAGAACCCCCAAATGGTTGGTATTGTGCAAACAGAACAAAAAGATGGCCCCTGCTCCCAAAAGTCTGTGCTCTAGGTATAGGACAAAAACAATGGATTGGAAACAGACCACTATGGGGCAATAAGAGAGATGACTTTGGTAAACATGAGAGGCAGTGGTTTCATTGCACACAGAAGTCAACTCTTGCCAAGTTGTTGTAGGCATCACAGTATGTGGCAGTTTGAACAAGCAGTCTGAATGGGGATAAAGTCTCTCTTCTATAGAAGTGTTCAGGGAGCTTGGTTGAAGCTGCTAGGGAATACTAGAAGCACTAAATAATAGTATCACTAAAGAATATTAGGTTTTGCAAGGCAAATGCCTTGGGGCTTAGCTACTTCTGTTCATTTTAATTTGACTAAATTCTGTTAAATGTGAAAGATTTATATCATCCTGTCAAGTAGACAGAAATGGTTGGGTTTTTTTTGCTAGGATCTATTGCAGTGGGGGCAGAGGAAGGAGCTGAGAAATTCTGTGATTCTGAATATTTCACAACCTTTTGGTATTGAGGGGAAAGAATCATAAATGAAAAGAATACTTCTGTTCATTTTAATTTGACTAAATTCTGTTAAATGTGAAAGATTTATATCATCCTGTCAAGTAGACAGAAATGGTTGGGTTTTTTTTGCTAGGATCTATTGCAGTGGGGGCAGAGGAAGGAGCTGAGAAATTCTGTGATTCTGAATATTTCACAACCTTTTGGTATTGAGGGGAAAGAATCATAAATGAAAAGAAATAGGGAGGATAAAGCTTTCTGCTATGATGTGTATGCTTCCCTAGTTTTCAGTAAACCTTTATGGGTATATTCCCCTCCAGGGGTCCTTGCATTACTCTTATTAAAGCTAAGACAAGGTGTATTAACTAGAGGTCCCCTTATTGTACTTTCTAAATGACCTTCAGGCACTGCTGGAAGTAGACAGACATACAGAGATGGTGGGGAAAAAAAACAGGCATACCCATCATCTCTAAGGTTAGTTCAATGGCACAGCTATGTTAATAGAAGAGAAATATATGACTCTTTTACTTACTGAAAGATCCAGCATGCCATTCTTGTGGACAAAGTTATTGGTTCCATCGATGTGATCTGTGTCCTCCAAGCAGCTATAATTGATGCAGGAGTCCGTCAAACTCCGTGGAAGGTTGGCACATGCCAATGGTTCATGGGGCATCTCTGGAATGGGTACCTGATTGCAGAGTTTTCGCATGTGCTCACTGAAGAAATCTGCGTAGCCCACGTTGAATGAGGCTAATGTGGTGTTGAAAGTTGCCACTGTAATGGTGGAGATTTGGGAGCGTACTGCAGGAAAAAAATGTGTGTCTTGACAATTTGATTCTAATGATGCAATTATAAAATTATGGCTGTGGCTATTGTGGCATTTTACAAGGGTTTTCACAAAGGCTGTCTTTCTTTCCTGAATTCTGTACAGCACTGAAATGAAGAGAGGCAAAGGCAGCTTCATTCTTTTTGAAGTTCTATCGCTGGTCCTCAGCACAAAATTAGAACTGTAAATTAAAATTGCAGCAGCTTGAAACAATCCCCTAGGTGTCATTATTTCAACAAAAAATAGCCGGAGAACAGTGTGCCTCAGACACGTCCCATAAATTCTTTGAAATATCCCTAAAGCAGGGGCTGTGAAAAAAACAGAAGTGCTGTAGATCCACTTTGCAGGCTCAACGTCTCCACCGGGGTATCTGAATAGCATTCCAGGTGAGTTAGTTAGCACCACTGTCAGTGACAGAGCTAAATAGCCCATCTATGACACCTCACAGACATGGCTACAATACTTCCGGGTAAGAGGCAGCATGCGGCAAGCAGCATGACATGTCTGGAGGTGACGCTACCTGGTAATTTTACTGTGTACATATGGCCTAAGGGATTTTGTTCCTGTTAATTTGATGTTCTAGAGGCTGATCATTTATTTTGTTTTAAAATAGGTAGCCAATGCTTTAGGGACATCAAAAAAGGAACATATAGTTCTAATTTCAAATAAGCCAGTTTTCTCTTTTCTGTTTTTCAGAGCAGTTTAGTTTGCACAAATCAATATCTGGAACTTCTACTCTTCTCTAGCAGCCTTCAGGCATATCAATAAAACATTCTTCACCCTGGAAGTCACATGAACCTTCTCAGGACCAGATTATGGAGGAAAATTCTTTTTCAAGATGCATTTTAAAAAAGCCCATATTTTTCAGAACATGTAGCCATTACCAATTACTTCGGGTATAGGTGACAATTTTAAAAAATACATACAGCACAAAGTTCCCAACCTAGGGAAAATAAAATGACAACCTGTACTGTATCTTTACTTGTATTATCTTACCATATGACCTTATTAACCAAGAGCTAAATGGTTTGTGGGCCTGTGGAGAGAAGGGAGACTATAAACATCCATCATTTACACCTTACATGCAAGTGCCTATTACTCCCCTGGATCACATGGATAGGGCCTAATCAAAGCATGGTCTCTGCTTTACAATGCACCAACAAGCAGAGCCGAGGCACTGCAAGGGTGGATATAAGTCAGCAGAAAATTATTTCCCAACTGCAGCGAACAGAGAGCAGAGAGGGAATTATGGCTGTACAGCACAGTGTCACTTACTATAGGTTGTGTCCTTGTGGCCTCAAAATGGTCAATGGGATTATTTGTACAGGTGCTATAAAATCAGGCCTGGAGTGCTCCAACTTAGGCAACTACAATATAGTGAAGAGATGTAACTCTATGCTGGGAATGGCAGACACAGACCACTGGCATTCTGGAAGCACTGGGAGTTCTTTGCTACTCTCTACATGGAAGGCAGAAGGGGTGAAGCTATGTTCTCTCTCTGCTGCAGGAGCAAGGGGGACTGGATCAATGTCTGCATCTTCTCACCCTTGCTGTAGGGCTGGAGACATCAGTGCACCTTAGAAATCTGCCTTCTTCCCCCACCCAATGGGGACATCAGACAGCTCAGTCTAATCTAAATGCTATGCTGATAGAGTCCAGCTTTCATCAGCTTATTTTATGTCATTCAACAAGCTGGTATAGCAGCATACCAGCAGAAAGCTCCTTATGTCTCCACAAGTCAGCTCTGATTGCACAGCTGTAATACAGACAGCAATAGCGTAACTAGCATAGACTGACTGGTCATCAACTCGGGGGGGTGGAGGGCATAGAAATATCAGCTGCTGCTGCAGCTGCATGATTGCATTGGTGCCATGGCACCACCCAGAAGTTGCTGCTGTCCCCAAGTATCTTGTTGTCCTAGGTGCCCAGCTGCTTTGTTAAGGACCATAGCTCTCAAGCTTAAAATTAATGTCATGTGATTTAGTCCCAGCCCTTTATTTGAAATCATAGGGACCAAATTAACTAAAAACAGAGAGAGCAGGAGTCTACTAAGTGTTGTATATGCCTCCCCTGGCTTTTGTAGAGGGCCCTGAAGGGTATGCTCTGGTTCAGTGGAACAGAAAGCCACCAGGAAGATTAGAGCAGACATGGGGTTTTCAGTAAGCAGATGACACTTTGCAGATGACACATCTACATCTCAGCTGCCCCAGTGGGGCAGCTGAACAATGTGTTCAGTGTTTGAGTGAGATTAGATGAGGGCTGGTGCCATCCAGAAAAAAGAGATGCGACTCCTATGGTCAAAGCCACTGAAAGAAAGCTAGGCATTTGTGACAGGACCTGTGCCCTAGGGGTGGCTGTGACCCCCCCTGGTGGACACGTGACTCCTGCTCTGGCCCCTTGGGGTAGCCTTCCCAGTTATTTTGCCTTGATATTGCTCAAAGGGTTTGGGAGGCTGCCCCAAGGTCCCAGAGTGGGTCTAGTCCACTGCAAATTTGCCACTTGGGCAATCAGTTGTGGCCCTTCTGGCCCTATTAATGAGATAGGGCACCAGGGGCCTTATGGGCAATGTTCATAGCCTCTGCTTTCCCCTATAGCCACACCCATGTCTTCCAGATGAGACTCCAGACTTCTTCACACTGGTTTGTACAGGCTTTGGTCCTCTTGGCCTTGGCCTGCTGGTTACTTTAGCTGCAGACTTGTAAGCTTGGGCCCACCCACACTTGTCGGCACCTCAATCCCAGCCTTATCATCAATCACTATGTGGCCCCTGTCATCCCTCTGGGCTCAGGCACTAGCCTTCTGAGACCACTTGTATCTGCTTTTGGGGTCATGCTTTAGGCCCCCCTTCAGTTTCCATTTGTCTCTGTTTCCCAAATCAGGATCCAACTCAGACATGCCCCTTCCCCCAGATCTGAGGGTGGTTTGGGAGCCTGCCAGAGTATCTCCTGCAGCTCCTCTCTTCTAGGAGAACTTTACTTCCTACAACACAGTATTAGACTACCTGACTTCCTCCAAGCACTGGGTTTATATGCTCTGGAGCCCTGCCCCTTTTGGTCAGGTGACTCCCTAATAAAGCACAGGGGGTTTTCCTTTTGCTTAATAGACAGCCTGCCCCTCCCTGCTGCAATTTAACACTGCTGCTTGCAGCCCTTATTTTTCAGCTGCCTGGAAATCTGCACCCCTGATCCAGCTCTTTGCAATGCAGCTAGCTTTGGCACAGCTGCCTGCCTATACAGCAAGAGCTAGCCTGCAGTCCTTTCCTCATTAAGTAACACAGGCCTTTGGCTCCCTGTTACATATTACATCAGGCCAAGGATATGCAGCAGGGGTTTTTTAGGAACAGAATGGCATTCTGTTACTCAGGCTTTGTGCTTAGCGGTTGTGCCCAAAACCACTTGGTTGCAGCTGAGGTCTGGAATCTATGCTGTAAGAAGTGCTGTGTAGCCAGCGCTCTCTATAGGGCAAAATTGTCCAGTGTGGCCTGTAACTCAGATCAGCTGCTAAAAGCCACATCATTTCCTCCCATTAATTAAAAACTTATTTTTATCCTGAAATAGGTCAAAAATGGGTCAACTTTTTGGAGAACATTTTCACCAACACTGCATCCTCCTTTATTTTCTCCCATCAAAATTTCAGTGTAAGATGCCATTAGAATTCCACATTTGGAAATTGTTTGACTAGATTCTGAAAACTCTGACAGCTGCTATACCCTACCAGACACACTGGCTAGCTGAATACATGCTAATAAAAAAACACAGAACTTTGATAATGTGACACATTCTCACCTTAAGGTGAACAATACATCACCAGTATTACTGAGAGTGGTCACTGACCTAAACATTTGTATAGAAAAACAGCCCCTTCTCTTCTGAATGTCAAAGGGTTTCACAGGAAGAATGTAAAATAGCTATTTTGGGACTCAGCTTGGGACTTCTGTCTGCCTTCCTTCTCTGACACAAATTTCCTTAAGACTCTTAGGCAAATCACTCAGGGTCAGATTTTAAAGGTAATTATGTACCTAAGGCTTTTAAAAATCAAGCTCTTAGTCTCTGTGCATCTTAGTTCCCCTTGGTAATAATAATCATCTCCCTACAACAAAGAAGTGCTGTGGGGGTATGTTCATTAAAACCTGTGAATAGTCCATGCACAGGTTTGTGCACTGGAAATAATGAAGATACTGTACTGCAAATAGATAAATGGGAGTTTTAAATCTTTTCTGCATCTGGTTAAAAGGAAAGCAGCAGTTCCCCATGCTTGATTTTGCCAACAAGGCAATAGAATAGCTCTTTATTAACAGCACCTTCCTGACAAGGCTGAGCTGTCCTGTAGCTTTTAAAATTGCACACTTAGAAAAAAGTGACAATGCTTTTGTCCCGTTGGTAGTCACTTCCCTTACTGAAACAGCAGGAGCATAGTGCTGATGGTCTGGCCATATGCTGATAAGAGTAATTATAATCTGCTCATCTTCATTGCCTTTGTAGTTTGGAAGGATACTGCAATTTGATTAACTTCCATAATTGCCAAGCCAAAGCATTCAAAATGTTAAGTCAGGTTCCAAAAAAACATGGAGCCTTTCCTTTCTTCTACTCTTGGAGCTCTTGTTGTTTCTCTTTTGATTTCTGAGTCTTTAGGTTTTACATTGTTACAAGGTTTAAAGCTTTTCTCCACAGCCATCTCAGGGTTAAGGAAATTTATTTATACCAGGTGCAAACTGAGATTTTCACAAAGTCTCCTAATTCCAGCAGTTGGAGGTTTAAGAAAAGCAAATACTGAAAAATGTATAATAATAACAATAATAATAATAGTAATAATAATAATAAAAACCCATTACTGCTTATTTCTAAACCTACATTTTTGTGCCATGGTGCTGTGCACTGTTAAAAAGATGTTGTTTGCCACTCTAGAGGTGACTGAACATTCTTCAGTGAAACTACTAGATAAATCTAAAAGACATTTATGATTATCCCAAGTAAAAAAATAATTAGATGTATGGAAGAACAGAAAGTCTAAAGTGAGATTAACCTAATATTTATTAAATGAGAATGCCAACATCATCTCAGCCCCTTGCAGCTAATACCTCAGTGAGACATTTGCTCTAGTTGTACTGAATTTACCTTCTTTGACTGTATTCTCTCCATGGCTGTTTGAGTGGTCAGGCAAATCAGTGACGAGAGTATGATGAGAGTGTGAATGCCTAGCACTCAGGCTCTCCATCTCTGTAGGTGTGTCAGAGCTTCCCCGTCTGGTAAACTTTCCTACAGACAGCATAAGAAATAGAAATTCAGGGCCAGATTCTTTTCCACATATTCAGCACCTAAATATTCAACCCTGCTCAAGTCCCTGAAAAACCACAAAGCACAAAGATGAATATGTCTTCTTCTACTTGCTATTTGTGACAATTTTAAGGCAAAGATGACAATGTGTTACAAAAGTAAATGTGACAACAGTCTGGTAGATGTTTAAGTAGGATGGAATGGGCTCACATGTACACACCTAGAACGTGGAATAGGAGCTGCTCCTCAGTTTCCAAGTGTAAGGATTGCTCTAGGGGTCTCTGCAATGGAAACTGAAGTAGGAGGATGGGGTTTGTTGAAAGAAGCAGGAGTCTAAGACCATCAGAAAAAAAAAATGAAGCAGAACAACCAAACTGTGAAATCCTTATGTGATGGCCTGGGAAGTCTGCCTTCCTACAAACTTATGAATTCTGATGGATTTTTATTAACTCTGTGGACAACTCTAACCAACAATGTTTATTATGTCTGCTGCCATGGATCATGTCACATATTGTATACTCTCTTGTGATGCACACACATATTTAGAACAGTTTACATGCAGTTTAAACCTTAAGTGGACAGACATACAATCCTGTTAAACTGGTTAAAATCCACCTAGAACCAGACCTAGTTCAAAAGTGTACCTGGAAAATCAAGTGTAATTTTGGACTAGTTCAGTGTTATGTGTGGATACAAAGTTCTCTGTGACACAGGTCTGGTGAATCCTCCACACATCCCACATTGCATTATTCCTCATGCCCTTCCTCTCCACTTCCCCAACACATACAAACTGCTACAACTGGCTGCTCTGGTATGTAGCCAGAACTCTACTGTCCCCTTTGTTGACACTTTAAAAAAAATCAATGAGATCCCTTATGCTGCTTGTTCAAAAAATGCTATTTAAAAATCAGCTGTGTTTTCACTCCCTATTTGATCTCAGCCCATCATTGTGCCCTCCAGTCCCTGGGAACCAAAAAAAATAGGTCCAATCGCTTATGTCAGGCAAGCACATTGCAGACTTTGGTTATATATGCAGCTATGGAAGGCTATTGAATTCATGCTTAGGAAACAAGGGAAAGCGGAAAAGTGACAACTCCTTCAGTTACAGGTTGCTCATTGTCAGTCTGTGATCTCAGCCTGGCAGCACAGCCACTCATCCTGACCGGCCACTCCACAGTTGACCACCCAGACTGAGCAATGCTTGCCTGAAGCCTCCATCAGGGGCTAGCCCTCTGCCCACTTCCAGTCACCAGAGTGGGCAGTCAGGGTCAGCTGACTCACCTTCCCCCATAAAAGCTCCTGAGCAGAAACAGGAAATGGTCCATACAACAGGACCCAACCTGATCACAGACCAGTTTGCTGTTTCCTCCAACTTGTGCTCTTACTCCACTCCCTGTTTGATCTCCCAGCTTCTTGACCTGGCTTGCTCCCTGACTCCACTCTCTACCTTATCTCCTGACTTCCTGATTCAGCTTGTTCTTAGACCTTGCTCTCAGACTCATCTCCTGGCTTCTCCCTAGATTCTGCTCACTTCTCCTGAACCTGCTTGGTACCTCAATTCCTCAAGTAGCCCCAGACCTGGCCACCCAATATTAATGGCTCACAAAGCTGCTACAGGACCATCAAAAGAGCCATTAATGTTGACTGGCTCTTCCTTGATAAAACAACTAAAGAGATTGACCACGATAAAGGAAGCAGGTTTCTTCCCATGTTGTTTGCAGAGAGATAAAGAAGATATTAGAAATTGCTATTAAAAAAAGAGTGCTCTTTCTGGGCTAGGGTGAACCTGGGGACTGTTGGACCTGAACAAACTAAGCAGAGTTATTTTCAGGATCAGAAAGAGACAAACTGATATTTAAGAAGTCAGACAAGAGGATGTACGGCCCTGAAAAGATTGAGCAAACCCCAAATGGCTCTTGGAGTGGTGAAAACATTAGAGGAAGGAATTCTGAATGGAGGGTTAGTCATTTTTTTCATGAGTCTGCAAGTCTCTGTTTTTGCCTACAAATAAATATGGACACTGAAGAAGTTACTTTGCAAAACTTCTGAGTTCCTTGTCACATATGCCTAAAGGGTTCAACTGTAAACTGGAGTACTCATGTGTGGAGCTCAAAGTAACCAGGGAGAACTGAGAAGCTGACTACTGGGTGCCACTTCCAAGAAGGAGCATCAAACTGCACTACAGGAGGCAAGCAACTGGGCCTGGATGCTGCCCACATTCAATGGGTTTAGAAGCTTGCCAGATTCACTGTTTGGACCTAAACACAGCATCTGACAAGTATCTAGTGGGGCAAGATCAGAGAAATGCTGTGACACCTTTCTCAGTTTGCATACAGCTCTTTCTCTGGCAAGACTTCCACTGCAGCCACAGGTAAGAAAGGATTGGACTCTCTTGGGATATTTTTGGTCCCTGTTACATTTACTTATCAGAAACAAACTGACCTAAACATAGTATATGAGGTCAGCAGTCAGCATAATTATGTCACTTCTGTAATAGGTATGCAATCCTGCAGGTGAGGGCGAAGGGCATAAGTGGACAGTCTGAACACCTGAGCAGTGGAGGAATAAGAAGCCTCTGCTATCATTTGAACATTCTGGAGGACAATAACTCAAAGTTGGGGCTAAGAGTGTCACCTAATATGGTGGTCTGCCATCCTCCCCTCTCAATGCCACGCCGATCCTCCCCAATCCCAGAGAAGCTGCCGAAGGAGAATGTGCTGCGAGTGGGCGACACGTCCAGATGGTCCTCATGAAGGAGAAAGGGCACACCCATTCTTCGCTGACGTTTTTTCCCTGTGTGGTGGAAAGGAATGGATCCCTTGCGCTCGCGCTCCCTATCTTCTTTGCGGCTCTTGAACTGCAGAAGAAACAGATGGAGCAGGTTAGAGTCAGCCAGAAGCTGAAGAGAATCTGACTACAGTTACAGGGAAAGGACAGAAACAGATGCAGGAAAAGCCTTTAGGGCCCACCTCAGACTCCCCACTCAAACCCTGTAACAGCCTGGTCATAGCCCTGATGGGTATTGGTACTCCAACACCAATCATATTTTAAGGATCCAACCAGAGTAACCCCTGGGTTTAGCTGACAGACAGATCTTTACTATGGTGACCACTAGGGTAGGGATTTATTGCCCTAATGTCCATCTCCATTCATATCTACACCTTTCTATAAACAACTCAGACTTTTTTATTTCAAACATTTTATTATTACATTTGTCACTATTATTATTCTGACTGCTCTTGAACCTGCATTGGTGTCTTCTGTCTTTCCCCACATCTTTTCCTGTGTTATCATGCAGGGAATCAAACAATCTTATTTGATTTAGTGCTTTTTGTTTCATCACAAGATGGGATTTTAATTTGTATCTTCAAAACTGTACTAAGGACCTCAATAGTGGAGAGACAGATACTTTGGTGGGGTAAAAATAGGTTAATTCATTGAAATTGAGTGCTACTCCGATTAATATTATTTTGAGCATCTGATCACAAAATTAACTCCCCTGTGGAAAAAACAAATTACATTGATTGATTTCAGTAGCAGTTTTATCTGAGTAAAGGTTTCAGTCTGGGACCATATAGAAAATATGAATACATTCATGGATATGACATGCCCAGATAGACACTTCCTTCAAAAGAAAACAAATTCAAATCCCACATTCAACCTGACCACAGAGTCAGTACAGGCCTTTAAGTATTATAGATGATGATACTGTAATGTAGTTAGTTATAATTCTTATCACCTTCTTAAAGATGTTCATTCCCAGGTCTGTGGAGAGATCTGGAACTGCTGGCCTGCGCAGGTTGGTCAGTGACACCTTGGAAAAGGCCTCAGTGCTGAGTGATTTTTCTTCTTCATTGCATTTCATTGTGAGATCCTTCAGCCACCACAAGAAAACAGTACAACAAAAGAAGAAATAGCTGATAAGATATCCTATATCCATAGATCACCTATGCTAGGAGACAGCTATAAAGAAAGAACTTAATTTAATCAAAAAATATTCCCATATGAAGATAAACGAGATTTCAAGACTTCTGTTATTTTTGCTGTGGCGAAATATTTGATCATTATACCACCAAAAAAGGCATCAATTATGAATGATGGTCCAATAGATAGAGCAGTAGACAGAAGTCAGGAAATTTGATGTTTGCTCCCTCCTCTGCTACTAACACATTTTGTAACCTTGGGCAGGGCAGTTCACCTCTCAGAGTCTGTTTTACCAGTATATATTAGTTGTGGCTAGTTATTATTACCTTCCTTTGAAAAGAGTTTTATTTAAGAGTCAAGTACATACTGGGCACATCTACACAACACCTTTACTGTGCAGTAGACTAATTAGCTCTGCAGTAAACATTGCACATCTACATGTGCACCTCTATTAGGCTGGAGTAAACTAATTTACTCTGCAGCAGGATTGTATTTGTAAATACAAGTACTATCCTGCTGCAGAATAAAAAATTCAACTGGTCCAGTTGAAGTCAGCAGAAATAATCAAATTAGCTGAGGTATGCAGGCAGTTAAGTTTCTGGCAAGACCAAGCTATTGAACGTGTGACACCACCCTAATAAATGTGATAAATAGGACATAATCCTGGCGCTGAGTTCCCTCTACTCTCACTAATATCTCTGGCTGCCACTTCAAGGAATAAGCTCTTGGTTTATGAAATGCTTTGGATCCTTTTAGCTGGTAGACACTAGGGCCTTTTGTAGATATGATCACTGTTTTCTAAACTGTGTTAAATGATTTGCATCTCACAGTTTGAATCAAATTTCAATTTGAATTTCAATTTGAATTAAGGGTTAATAGTTTATCATTGACCATCAGGGAGGTTTTTGTGCATTTCTGCACTTGTGCAGTAGAGGTGGCGGGGGGCACTAGACACTGCCCACCATTCACAATCAGAGCCACAAACCTGTGCTCACTTGCTACACCTGGTGTTGGGCATGAGCAAGAGTAAGCCCTAGATACCTGCAAGATATACAGGTTAATTAATACAGTTTAAAGTGCCTAGTTTGGACTGCCCTAGTCTGCATTAACTTTAATCCTCATTCAATGAGAATTATCTAATTCACTCTAGAGCCAATTTTAATTCGGACTACAAATGTTCACATGTATATTATGATGGCTGTAGTCTGGATTAAACCTAGAAAAACATAACATCTATAAAAGGCCTAGAAAATTAAGTCAGGATTGTTATTGCGCATCAATAACTGAATCTCTGTACTACTACTTGTGCTGAGTTAGCCAAAAGCACGCAACAGGATTTGGGTCCAACCATACTAGCTGGCTGCTACACAGCACATAAGACAGAGCATCTGCCCTGAGGAGGATTTGCCTAATAAGAAAAATCAAATTAGTACAGAGGATTGTACTATAGATCTTTGTTTGCTATCCTCCTGCATGGATATAACTACCAGCCCATTAATATTTTTGTGAGCTTCCAAGTGTTATCCTTAGAACTCTTCAGTTTAAATTAGCATGGCATCCAGTCATTATAGTGGTATTAGTCTTATGTTTAATTTAAGCTTTCATTCTTCATCTCTACAGTGTTACTGCAAGGCCACAGAGGTTTCATGTCTTGCTTCTGTCCCCTATGCTGGATTTACTGCATACAGGTGCAATGCAGGTTTTTCTTTATATTGCTTTGTTGGTATTGAAACATTTTCAACAAGAGTCACCAACTAGAGTCATGAAGAAGGTATTCATTTGACTCGTATTCCATTTAGTAGCTATTATGTTATGCAACAGGGATCATGAAACGTTTTCAATTTCCTGC